TTTCCCATTTTTTTTCCATTAAATACACAGTAGATAGAAATTATCTGTGTGTTTATCAACTTGTTAAATTTTTATTACTGAATAAGAAAATGTAAATAATCTTGATACAATAATTTAACAAAAATATGGAAATTGTTAAAATTGTTTAATGTAAAGTTGGAATAATTTATGTGGAAATGGTTTCTATAAGTTAAAATAAGATTACATAAAAAATGTTTTTAAGAAATAATTTATAATTGTCCTTCGTATTCACCTTTTTTATTTTGATTTTGTTGAAGGGTCCTTATCAACATATAACAAGCTTATAATAAAATATCAATTATTGAAGATTTTAAAAAACTATGGAGAGAATATTTATCTTAAATTATTATACACTTTCTTGATATTGTTACAGAAATACTATTCAGTAATACTTCAAAATTCTCAAAGGATATTATTAAAAATGATTGAATATTGTTATTTATTAATAATAAAGAAACTATATTACCGTGAAAACGATATATTGACATTTTTATATAATTCTTATCTTCAGACAGACTGCATCATAATAATGTTTAATTGCTTACATACAGGGTGCCCCCGAAAGTTATGTACAAGCCAGTTTGGGGTGATTGTACATGAAAAAATAAGTTGAAATATAGAATAACTTATTGAAAATATTTTTTGATGAAATGCTTTGTTTTTTGTAGTAAAATTCGCACAAGAAACACACCATTTATAATAAATAGACAGCGAATTTTATGCATGTATGGCATCAGTGAATGATAGAGGCAATCAATTAAAAATTTGAATATCGCTAAATGAATTTTTTTACTCATTTTGAACCTTAAAAACTATTTAATCGGGGAAAAGGTATGATATTACGTAAACATTTGCACTCTAACAATAACAAAAGAAATGAAGAAAGATGAACTAAATTCCTTTGAAAACCACGTCGAAATTGTTTTTCGTTCGATCTTCTACGATACTTATCACTGGACAATGACGACCTTAACGAAGATTTAAACTTTTTCTATTTTTATTTTCTTACAAAAGTGTTGTAAAGTTACTTATGTGAGAAGAACCTCTAATTGCGAAAACAAACTTTTAGTTAACATAAATTTTTTTTATAAAATTTAAATTATTTTTATTCTAAATTTTTAAATATGCTAGAGAAGTTTAATTTTGTATAAATAATTCAAGACCATTTGACTTCGTACCGATTCTTTTCTGGAATCTAGAAATTGCTAACAGTCAAACTGGCTATGATTTTTATGTCCTCTGTTTTTACGACTTCCTATACTACTCAGAATTCACAAATAGGGCAGATCTTCCAGAGAACCGAGCTTTACAACTTCCGCACGATAATAAAATCCATGGGTTCTGTCCAAGACTCCAATAAAAGTTTTAAGAAAAAGTCGCGAAATGGTAACAAATGAGAAATAGCACTAAACGCTTTAAAAATATTGAAATATTCCTGTGAATAATTTATACAGGGTGTCCCACACAGATGGGACAATTCTCAACATGCGTATTCCTCATGCAAATACAAATCGAAAAGTCTCTTACCGTTTTGTAATCTAAAGCTCCATTTCCAAGATATTAGCAGTTAAACGAACTCCAATCAGCTGAACGGTGGGTCACACGTACGCGGAGCAGCACAGTAAAGCAGAGGTCAGTAATATGAGTCGTCCGCTTCTTGACTGTGCTGCGCGTACGTACGACCCACCGCTCAGCTGATTGGAGTTCGTTTAATTGCTAATATCTCGGAAATGGAGCTTCAGATTACAAAACGGTAAAGGACTTTTCGATTTGTATTTGCATGAGGAATATGTATGTTCAGTATTGTTCCATTTTTTTTTAACACTCTGTATATCGTGTAATACAGGGTATAACAAAAGTGTTCTAGGTCTCACAACTGATTCACTCGTGAGGTGATCTGGAACAAGTTTTTCCTTAGCAACAATATTATCCATGGATTTGTTAACGAGATATTAACGAAAAACCCTGGCCAAACAGAGGTCAGCCAGCAGACTCGCGTTCTGATTGGTCGAGATTTTTCGTTAATATCTCGTTAACAAAGCCTCGGACAACATTTTTCCTAAGAAAACATTTGTTCCAAATCACCTCACGAGTGACCCATTTCAGGGACTTACAACACTTTTGTTGCACCCTCTACAAAAATCCGAAAAAACAATCTTTCTTCGTAATTGTTAGATAATTTGGGAATGAAAAGGGCTAATTACGCAAATACGACTTTGAACGAAAACCTGACCCACAAGATTTGTATCAGTCGGTATCTGAAATCAGACAAACTCATCGACGACGTCTCCGGGGGGGTGTGTGGTAACCGGGGGACCGACGGTTTTCTTCCGTGCGCGTGAGCCATTAGACCGTAACGAAATTTCTTTTCGCCAAGCTCCTCTATCCCGTAGATCGATGCGTCCCGTCTAGGGAGTCTCCCTTGCGGAGGCATGTAGTCCCGTACCACCCTTTTCCTGTTCCCCGTTCAACCTACCCCCTCCTGCTCACGTCCATCGCCACCCTCCACGACCACGACTCGCCTTCGGTTCTCCCAGCAGCCTCAGTTTCCGCGTCGAAAGATTCCAGTCCGTTCCGGGCATCCACCCGGCACGGTGCATGGATCCATCCCCCTTGCAACCACTCTGTCTCGAGATCTGACGGTTCACCACGTGGATCCGCCTACTCCTTCGGTTTACCCGTGAAACTGGAGTCTTCGCGAGATTCTCGAATGTGACACGAATTTTTCCTCCACGACTTGGTATTCGTAGTTTCGAATTTTACATCGATCATCCCTTATACGGTAATATCTCGATGAGTGCGACAAACTTGGGTCTCCGCTTTGGAGTATTCGTTGCAAAGTTTTCAGCTCCTCGTAATTTATTTTTTTTGCACCAAGTCGAGCTTAGTTTTTGTTTCCTCGGTTTTGATTGGTTCTAGAGGGGGAGCCGCCCTAGCGGTGGGAATAACGCCGTTGTTTGTGTCAAATTCATCGAGGAATCATTGTAGCATCTTATAAGTTTTACGAAGTACCGTTCAAAAATACCTTGAAAAATATGCGATTTTGGAGGTATCCATTAAAATTAACGTATTTCTCTTCAAAATTAAGATATCTTCACGGTTTTTTTAATTTTGTTATTAGTATCCAGTAAACGTAAGGTCCACTATATAAACTCATTTTGTAAAAATAAAGTGTCTTTAGATGTGTTAAATTATAGTAAAAATGGAAAGTTGATATATCGGCTCGAGGGATTTTTCGGAAAACCCACAAAGCAGATATATCGGCTGTAAGGTACTAAAAGGGTTAAACTAGCTTGGAGAATTGGAGAACCCTCGAATAACACGGTTTCGGTCTAACACGGTCGAAGTATTGTGTAGAATAGTGTTTTAGTTTGAAATTAATAGTACAGTAGTGTTTTAGTTAAAAATAGTTACAGTGAACTTTTGTTCATTTTTGGACAACTAACCCCGTTTTTTGTGTGTATATGTACATAGAGTAGGTCTCATAACTGTAAAATCAGATTGAAATTTTCGAATTCCTGCATTTCGCACTCAACACATTACCAACAGGTAACCTATTAATACATTTTTAATTTTCACTGCTTACAGTTAAGAAGCCTGTTAATTTATCCTTAGATTAGGGTGCATCCTGTGATTGCACTGTTTAATAATAGTTCCTTGGCAGTTGGTTATTGGATCTACTAAACCTATGAAATAGCAGCCGATAGGTTATGTGTTAATATTCAATTATATCAATTATATAGTGTATCGCAGCATACAAAAAGAATTTTGTTACAAAAAGAAACACTATACATTTTTTGTGTCCCAAACCTAATAGTTAACGAGATATTTATAAAATAATTTTTAATACGTACTTACTATCTGGAAGCTATAGATGTTCGAACTGATGCTCTTCAACTTCAATACAGTGATTGCTTTGTAAATATCTCGTTAACTATTAGGTTCAGGACGTATGAAAGTCAACACATTTTTACTGAGAATTTGATACTCTATCGATCTATGGTACAAAGAATAGGTCATTCCGTTAAAAAAAATCAAGGTAACCTTGAAATCTCTGAAATGTCTCCACCCACAAAAAATGCACGTACTTTATAAGGTGTGGCCCTTGATGCAATTTAGGTTCCACGCTTCAAAATTTTCATATAGTGTACTGTTAAATCATTATTCAAGGTGATCAAGTTAGCTGAGACACCCTGTATTAGTCGAAATAATTCAACTCTGATGTGATTTAACGAACTAATCGATTTTTAAGATGCCTAATGTTCCGTTGAGATTTCGCGAGGCGCGGCCAGAGTAGCCAGATTTCATGAATGAAACCGGTTAATAAACATTACTCGGGGCTAACCTAAATTTAGCAGGAGGTTGAATGACCAATCGCTCGAAAAACCGATAGCATCGGCCGTGGTTGGGTAAACACGAGGCCCGGAGGAGTAATTTAGCAATGCGATAACGTGGTCAGTATTTCATTAGCCTAAGAGATAAAACGAGATCGATATTTCTCGCAATACCCAGAAAGTCCGCTGAAAGCCGCATTTCTTCGATTGATCGGCACTTAGCTTGATACAACGGGCAGTCGATAATAATCGATAAATATCGATAGACTTGATTCGATTATCCTCTAAGTTATTGATTATATCAAAAAATGAATCAGACAAAAGTTGTAGACATAGACAAGGAGCATCTTTTATATTCTACTACTCTTTTTCGTTCGACAAATGGTTTTCGAAAAGAAAAAGAAAAAGCCTGGGAAAAATTGTAGATAATTTTTTTTAATTTTGAAAATTGAAATGTGTCTTGACTATTTTTTTATCAATAACATAAAAAAAATGTGTACTTTGTATTTGGAATGCTAAAGGACTATTTTTTAAAAATCAAAGAAATATTTCGTAAATTTATTATTTAAAATAATTTAAAAAAAATAAAAAAACATACGTAAACATAAGATTTATAATTTTTTTGAAATTATTTGCTAGTGAATAATGGCAACGTTCTATTACACTGTTATAAATACAATTTCGAAAAAAAAAATGAAAATTCAATTTCGTGGAATTGAATTTTTGTGCACGCAGGCAAAGGACCACCTCGAAACGTGCCAACAAATCATCATCCGACAGCGAGCTAGCGCAGGGCAAAGGCAAAGGTCGACGGCACAAATCGAAAGAGAAATGGCCTCTGTTGGAAGGGCTGACGGTCGACGAACTGGCACGTTATCGAAGGAGGCGTGTTCAAGGCCAGCCGAAAGACAATCTTGGACTACATCCCGAATCGGAGGAGGACAAACAACCCCCAGAATCTGAGAATTTTCAGAGCATTCGCGCGAATAACGAAGAATCGCTCAAGGTTAGCGTCACGACCAAAGATTTACATCTCATAAATTCTTCTGTGAATATCGATAACATCGTTAAGGGGGAAAACTGTTGCAAACAGCTAAACATGAACGAATTTTTGGGGAATTTATTGTGAAGAAAGTATAAAACCAATCTCTTTGAAACTTTGAGAATACTTTATTGTACAATTACACTTAATACGAAAATTTGTATTTTCACGACAAATTCATGAATATTATTGTTATAAGGACTTATGTGCAGCCCGTGGGCAAAACAAATGTTTCATGCCGGGTATGCAACCTTCGATCGATGTATTGTTAATGTCTTTTATGTCCTGATTGAAATTAAAAGTATGTAGACAAAGAAAATATCCTAAGTAGGGGGCGTTTCGAAATGCATTAAGCAATAATTTTCCGATTCATAGATGTACCCCTTTACCTCGTAGGAAAATGTCTGGCCGGAGACGGACAAAGAAATCGAGGACGTTCACCTGAAGGATTTCGACGTGGTTGCGCAGACTTCGGATCTGGAAGAGGTGGACGACCAAGAAAAAAAAGATGCGGAATTGGAGACGATAAATAAAGAACCAGAAACTTCTTTCGTGCAGACGGACGAGGATAAAACGATGGAAATCGAAACTGTAAACTCTAAGTTCGTCGGCCATGTCGGGGTTGTTACGCGGCCATCCCTTATTAGAAGGTAAATTTTTTGGAGGAATCACAATTCTTTGACAGTAGAATCGTTTGTTACTTTCACTTTCAAAAAAAGTTAAGATTTTTGTGACGGTCAGAATAAATGGAATACCCGGTATATTAGCAAACAGGATGTCCCACCTTTAGTATCTCACTTGCTTCTGATTTGCAAAAAATTTATTTTAATAAATGCTCAAAGTGATGCCTACTAACTTCAATACATTTTTGCACTAATCCCTCTATCGTAGTTATTTTATGATTTAAGTGTACTCATACATTTGTGGATTTTTTTTACTTAAGGTTACATGAAGGTCACACTTTTATATAGGTCATTGGATTGATCTTGATCGCAAGTTTGACGCCACGAAGATAAAAATATGTAGTCCCATTTAGAATAAAAAACATCGTTGGCCTTGAAATTTCGAAAAATGTGACCTTCAGAAAAATGTTTGCTTATCATAGTATTTGCTCCTTCTAACCAAATAATACTTTCCCCTCACATTTCTTTTGTATCTTCGAAAACAAGTGAGACATTGAAAGTGCTCACGTTAGGTGAGACACCTTGTATAAAAGTATATAGAGTATAAATAATATATTAATGCTCGTTTGTATACAAGGGGTTAAGTTACTGGTAACAGAAATTTTACTCGACGATAAACGTATATGTATTTTGAACGGTCGATAAACATGACAAACTTTTGAGAATTTACAACATTTATAAATGAACTAATTTTTTCACCGTCGTATCGTAACAAAAGTTGCAAAAGATCCGAGAAAATGTATTGCTATAACGCTTTAGTCATTGTTAAAAGAACGTATCAGTCAGTTGTTTTGTTTTGACGGGTGTGCAGTAGTTCTAATGTTCAGGTTTGATTCAACGTGTCGAAATAACACGAAAAAGTTATAAATATTTTCAAGTTATTAACGGTTAAAAATACAGGTTAAAAACCCCTGCAACCAGACAATTCGCGTACAAGCGGTAAGCATAGGGTACGACAGTACCGACACACACACGAAACAAACGTATACGAATCGTTTCGCGATATTAAATCTGGTTGTTTGTAAAAATCCTCGAGGGAGACCACGACCACAGCACACACATACGCGTAGCACTGAAAAAACTAACTTGAACTAAACTAAAAGTCACCATTGTAAATTAAATTAATAATATGTATGAAGAAAACACAGATGCCTTTTTTCGAGGGCTATTCCACGCTGACTAGATGCGTTCGCGTTAACGGCTACCACCGAACTAAGGAAACATACATATACTCGAATCCCACGCAAAGAACGCAAAGGCAATAAAAATCTGTAAACAGCGAGTAGAAGTCGTATACCTACAGAACAAAAGATATACCTTGCTGGCGAGAAGGACACCTCGAAAGATATCCCTTGTTTTGTAAACTACCATATCCAAAAGATATTTGTCGACAATGTTACAGTGCTTACGTAAATGGAAGCCTACTAGAGTGCAAAGCATAAACATTGTGTTCGTACATTAAGATACGCTTTTTAAAGTATAACTCCTCCGAAAGTCATTTGAAGTTTAACATATTATACATAGTTGAATTTGCCTTTTCATTAGCCACAACGCTATACTAATCAAAATACGTTATCCCATTAAAAAAATACAACGACATTTTGAAACATCGGAAAATATGACTTTGAGAAAAATATCTTCTATATCAAAATAATTGCCCAACTGAAGCAAACAGTTTTTCCCTTACACATTTTTATCGTGTCATTAAAAACAACAGATATTCTAGGTGATAATCTTAGGTGACTCACCCTGTATCCAAGATACAGTAAATCCTCGATGAGAGTTCGAAGGCTCCACGGCACTGACAGACCTTGGAATTTTGAGGCCAATGATATTTGTTTCAGTCGCATATGGCCATTAGTTTATGAAATATTTAATGTCCAGTGCCGAGGATCCGTCGAACACTCATCGTGAATTTCCTGTGCTTCTCTTTTTTCGACTGTGTTTGATTCCTGATTTGTTTCCCACGAAAGAGGCACAACTTTGAAGCGAGACGGTGAATTTTACACGGACACGGAGACCTGTTCCTCCTATGTGGCATACGAGGGTCAGCACAGGCCGGAATTGGCCCGACGAGCGACGTCCTTGAAAATGGAGGGTGATTTCGAAACGACCACCGAGAAATGCGAGAAATTCATTCGTTGGCTGAACGTCAGGCGTCCAGACCTCATGCGTGTCCCCACGCACCTGAAGCTCGAGGGTGAACTGGAAACGTTGACCGAGAACCACGAAAAATACGTGCCGTTCGTGGGCACCCGTAGACCGGAACTGTTACGTCAGAATACGAACTTAAAGTTAGAAGGGGAATCGAATTTCGTGCCGGAGTACACTGACGTTTTCAGAATACCCCACAACAGAGGTAACACTCCAGTAGTTTTCATTTAAATAATCTAAATTCCATTTTTTTTTTTTTGGAGAAATAATTAGTTAAAGTTAATTCATTTTAGGGGCTAATATCTATTTCTTATCGTTTAAGTCATGAATATGAAACTTAATTAAGCAAACAAAAAAAATAATACAATATTTATACGATTTAATGGGACCAGTTCGTTAAAAAGATTTTTTTTTATTAAGAGGGTTGTACTATATCTTGTTACCTAAAGACGAATAATGTTTAAGATTTTTTTAATGGAGAATTCATAACCTATTGGATCTGTCACATATTCTGTTACGGAAAATAAGACTAATCCATTAAATAAGTTACAAACTCACTAGGATTCATTTTATCATTCCACATTGTAGAAAGACAACAGCCAGTGAAACCGGAAATTCATCTGAAAACGGGACGGGACTTCTTTCAAAGTACAGAAAGCACCGAGAACTTTGTCGATCCGCGTGCGAAGGAGGCGCAGCTAATGCGCGAACTGAACAGGGACGTGGAGGAGGAGGAGAGACGGCAAAAGCAGCAAAAGGAGAAGAAAAAGGAGGAGGAGATGAAAATGTTGGTGTCGAAATTGGAGGACTTGAAGAGCCCGCCGCTCGAAGTTCCCGAATATAAGGATGCTTACAAGGCAATTTCGATTTTCTGTTCGTTAAATTAATAATATATCCAATAGTTTTGAATGGTAAAGAAAGCTCCAAAGCTTAAAAGGAAATCAAAATGAATTCAACGATATATGATATGACCTTCAGGTGACCTTGAAAGTGTAACATTTAAATCCCTTTTAACGTGATATGATTGTATAAGAACACTTTGTGACTAGTGAACAAAAAGTTTCCCTGATAAAACAACAAGATGTCAATTAGTTTACATACTTTCGTTTCAAGGTCAATTGAAGGTCACTTTCTTGCGTACTACAATAATGTTCACTGACGATCCCAACTTACACGATCTTGAAAGATAACTTTTACCGTAGGATTTCCCAAGGGAACGCCCAAGAATCGTAAAACCAGAAGACGAAATCGGCCGAGCTGATGGTTCGAAGGTTCCGTCGTCGCCCGCCAGTAAGTTCTCCACAAAAATCGACCAGGATCCGGAATACAAGTCCAAGTATCTGGATTACCAAAGGGACCATCCTGTGTACCGGAAACCACCTATAACAGTCAGATCAACGCTGGTTCCTTCAGAACATTGTACGGGATTTGGTAAACCGGAATCGAAACGATACGATCACGAGTTCACCAGCGAGGTCAGATCGCAATACGTTCCGTACGGTCGTGTACCAAGAGTGGAACCACTGCGAATACCGTCCAGTTTGCGTCTGGAAGGGAATCTCGACCTCGAGCCGGAATACAGAACGGCCTACTGCACAAAACGCGAAAGTCAATGCGCTGATTCGAATCTGCAACGTAGACGGGATCGTAGTTTGAGTGCTTCCAGACGTCAAGGAAATCATTGGACGAATAGTAACGTGGAGCAATTCGATTCCGCGAATGTTGTCCAGGATCAGAACGCTTTCCAGGTGCTGAACACGCGAATTCACGAGGACAATGTCTGTGGGAAACCACCGTCTGGTAGTCGAAGGTGTGTATATACTCGAGGAAAAATAACACCATAACTGCAAAATGACGAATTTCGGTCTAATTTGCGCATATTTCTCTCGGTTACCTTAGTTACGTCTTAAACAATTGAACATCACTGGCTTGTGTAGCATCATGCACCGAGTGACTGTGAAGTACAAACGTGCCAATTCATAAGTATTCTTGTCTTGAGAAATACTTCATTATGTCACTCAGTGTATGACAAATTCTATCGCCGACGTTATAGAAAGCACCAAAGAGAGAGAATCCGAGGTTGAAGAGACCTCTCGTGCTCATTCTAGATGCGCGAAACAGTTATGGTCTTATTTGCCGTTTACTATAGAAATTTCTTGAATACACTTTTTCTTAACCCTCTGTGGCCCGAAGTTCTTTTTCGTGACTATAAACAAAATTATGTAACGTAAAACCGACAAATATTAACCTCCATATATAAATTAACAATGAATTTAGCATTTTCAAAGATTTTGTACTCCGACACCTCAAGCTAGAGCTGTCGATCGCTATGAAGAATCTTATCAGTTACAAAAGAGAGATTCTGGAACAAGCGATGTGTGCGCTACCTAGCGGCAAGGAAATTAATTATTAGATCAACAAAATATCGATATGTGATTTCAAAATCACAGGGGGCTGTAGGGGGTTAATTATATTTTGTTAATTGGACACCCTGTATATATTAATTATCTAACTGTATCCGTGTGGTAATAATACAGAGGCTCGAAGACCTCCCAAATTCATCTGCAAAGACCAACACAGGATGGGGCAGAATACAACAGATTAAAGGAGGAATCGTCGAATCCGACTTATCGACTTCATGTTTACAATGTCGATGACGAACATCAAGGTTTTCGACGCAGACGTTCTCCATCACTTCAGTCTTCCGGAAGGATACGGAATCCTTCACCCGATCGTGCACACCGCACTGACGTTGTCAGACCATATTCCCCTAGTTTTGGTAAAAGCACTAAGCAGCATAATAACGGTCAGTCATTCGTTGTTCTGGACAATGAACTGTTCGACACGAATAAAAACGAGGTACGCCGGAGACGAGCGGATAGGAATTATAATATCGATGGCACGCTGACCTTCTCGAAGGGAAGAACTAGAACTACGAGTAATTGGATGCCACCCTGGTATGATAGTACAAATACGATTTAAACTTTAAATTTTAAAGCAATAACCACCGCATTGTACGCTTAGGAGCAAACTCGGCTTCCGCTAGGGGAAAAAGTAGCGTAGGGAAGGACCTCCTACAACTTGTTAAATTTATTTCAAATACCGAAATAAATGTTAAATCGAATGTTTATTTGACATACATTTCAATAATTCTCGAAATCAAATGGCAGGATGAGGTCGTTCCTCTACGTCATTTTTTCCCCTAGTGGAAGCAGAGTTTGCTCGCGAGGGTACTGAGTTTTCTGTTTGCCTTAAATAAAAATCCGCTTCGCGAACCGACCGCCAAAGCAATAAAGTCTTTGTGTAAACATGAAAACATACACTATACATGTATGAATTGATAATTACATCTTCCAAAACAAGTATACTTACGTACAATGCAATGAAAACATTAGTACAGCATTTAATAGACGTATTATTTTCATTGTACAATATGCTATATTGAATATTAACGAATAACAAATATATAAAATTTTGTATGTAAATATGTAGAGACTATATGCATAGCATTTATAAGAAATAAAAAACAATAGATATTAGCAGAACTACTTTTGTTGTTTTTAATACTGTTAAAATATCATTTTTACGAATGTTATATAATTTGTATCAAACATTGTACGCTTAAATTGTGTTTATATAAATGAAAAATTTTGAAGAGACGTTAAGTTTATGAAATTTTAAACAAGACACTCTGTATGAATATATGTACATGTTTAATTATTAATTATAATCAATTATAATAATCATAATTTATTCCGTTAAAGTGTTATTTAAATATAATGTTTAGCACTGGCATTTACGTTTTATTATAAGAAAATTGTAAGGTATTGTTCCGAAAATAATTATTGTTTCATTAAGAAATATACATATAAATATTTAAATTTAGAATGTCTACAAAAATATGTATGTACACTTCATAAAAAATTACAGAATTACTGTATTAGTAATTAAAACTGCCAACTTTAATATATTGTATTATTCTGTAATGAAATGCATTAAAAACAATTGAAGTTACAGAACATTTTTTTTAATTATTCCCGACCATCTAAAATTTAGTATAAGAAATAGTTAATAAGAATTTAGGAATTTATTAATTCCTTATTCAATATTTATACAGTCTGTTTTGATGATGAAAATTGTTCATTTGTTCAAATTGTTCAATGATCATTTTTCATTATATTGTAAATAAAAATATATTTTGATTAGTCGTGTGACCCCACTGTGCTTGTTCATGGTACGTTTGGCAATGTAATTCGTTTTCGTGTTAATTCGAACTTAGCGTAAGTCAATTAAAGAAGAAATACATCTTTCTTTCGTCCTGGTTTCTGTAAAATGGTTTATGAAAGTGAGAATTTACATAAACAACCGCAGGATTATAACTTCTTATTTTATCGCAATACAATAATCCCACTGAAAAACGAAAATTTTCAATCGCAAGTATCTACAAGTATCCCCGGTATCAGAGATTCAATTTAACTGTTGCAACGCGAATCGAAACTTACTGAACATGCGTAAAACGTTCGAGTGATGTATATTCGACTAACTTCATATTGCTTGCGGCAATACTTTAATAGGAATTACGATTGCTAACTGGTGCGGTTGTAGTTGTACTTTTGAGAAACACATTGAATTGTGGTTTTACTTAAAAATCATATAGTGCAAGGTTAATTTAGTGAAGAATGTCGGATCCGGAGCTCGAAGCGATACGGCAGCAACGATTAGCTCAGTTGCAGTCACAATATAAGGTATATTAAAAGATGCAGATGTTTTACAACTCCAAAATTAAATTCTTTGTAATATGTCACATTTGAATATCCCGAATTATGAACACTTTGAGAAACAATTATAAATAAAAATGCGTGATTACAATTATATATGAAATTATTACAATTGAAGTTTGAAGTCATGTTATTAACTAGGTTTCTTATGATAATTTTATTATGTTTAGGGTATAAGTGAAACTATATTTATCTTTAATTATACTGTATAGATACTATACATATAACCTATTTTTATACGCTTTTATTTAATTTTCACAATTACATTTCATAAATAAATGCATAGGGTAACAATGGTGACAACAAACAAGCAATGGAAGAAAAAAGGCAACAAATGGAAGACATGAGGAATTCCATTCTTAGTCAAGTATTGGATCAATCAGCCAGAGCAAGACGTAAGAATATTAATGTATTCAAGTTTCATTGAAATATAATTGTCTAATGGGTGCATTTCTATAGTTAATACATTGTCTCTTGGTAAACCTGAGAAAGGAAAGATGGTAGAAGACATGATATTAAGTATGGCACAGCGGGGTCAACTACCTGGAAGACTAGGAGAGAAAGAACTCATTAGCTTACTTGAAAGTGTAAATCAACAAACACAACGTAGAACTGTTGTCAAGGTTAGTTAAAATATATGTTGTATATTCGTATTCTTTAGTCGCACTGGTGTTAACGAGAAAAATTAAAATTTTAGTTTGACAGACGAAGAGCAGCACTCGATTCTGATGATGATTTATAACAATGTTAAATGATACATGGTTTGCCGAGCTACATTTCACTCTGTTTTATTTCTAATCAAGAATTGAAGTTATAATACACAGATATATACGCTTAATTAGGTTGTATGTTCTTATGTTTGATGGTACATTGAAATAAAAAAAAATAAAAATACGTAATCGAAATCTAATACCATTTTTAAGATTTTTAGTATATTCTTGTCAGTTAAATTCATATCAATATCATTAATATTTGTTAACTGCATTATTATTAAAAGACATTCATGGTATTATAGTTTTCTTTATTAAATATAGGTAAATACACATTTAAAATGCATAATGTTTTCTTTTAAAAAAACGTGTAATGATTTACAAGAATTCATGATGATATAAACCACTCCTTTTACTATGCTTATACAAGGAAAACATTAATTGTAGTTGTTAAATTCAATCAGAAAGTCCAATTCAAATCATTTTATTCACATTCTTTCACAATTCGTGAATATACTTCATTCACTGAAAAATTATAATATGAGACAAATTCTTTGACAAGATTAAAAAAAAATCTCGTTTAATTGTATGGTTTGTATTGTCTTGTGAACATTCTACTTAGCTAAGATTTGTTTCATCCTTCATCCGGCAGGGTATAGATTTTTTTTTAATTCAATGCTTCCATATCTATACCGAATTTTAATAAATAAAATATCACGTATGAACAAATAGCAGTATATAATTTAGCGATATAATACGAAAGTGAAGTAGATCACAGACAGTAATAATAAATAAAGAATTGTATCTGGCAATTATTATATATACATGTATTAACGCAATAAAAATTAAATATTCCTTGTATATTTTATAAAGAAAAAAAGTAATTACATATAGTGTACTTGTGCTAGTACTCTATTAATCTTATTTAAATAAAGAATTAGTACCTAAGAATACAAGGTTGTTTTTCATCATGTACAAGAGTACGCACTATGTCTCGGAAAAACGAAGCATCCTCCAGTTCATGAATTTGTCGAAAATCGCCGGATAAGGATCAATTATTATTCTATCTAATTCATACAATTTTTCCACTTCATTTACTACAATGACATTAAAAAATCCACATAATCATACTGATTCACACAAAAGGTCACAAATATCAACTAAATGACTTTTCATTTGATAAAATTTACCAATGTAAAATTAAAAATTAGAAAATTATAAATAAGAATATATACACATTCACATTATCAATACTCATGAAATTATTTAATAGAAATAATACTAGCCTAAATATTGTTAGTCTTTCTTCATATGATTTGTCCCCGAGTGTTCTGTAAAACCACAAGATGTTAAGGAGAACAAAATATAAATATAGAAATTAACATTTAAAAGAAGCTTAAATTTACCTTCTTCTTCATCGTTCGCATCCAAAATATCTGGACAACAAATGCCGTAACATATCAGTGATAAGAACCCAGCCGGTAAGCCAAATAAGACCATTGTCAAAATAGGATTACCCATCCACATCGTAATAAGAGTTGTTTTTAATTCAAACCATGATCTATAAATATGTATTAGCCAATTGTTTCCACCATATCGCTGAAAATTATATCTTCGTTTCAATTTCCTTCGATTCGAGCAAAAGTAATTTAAATTTATATAAAAAAAGATAACATTTTAATTACCGGAGCACTTTCGTTACGAATTTGCTCTAGGAACAACTCTATGACATGAGGAGTTAATTTTTCTGTTTCGTCTTCTGGAATATGATGGTGATTTGTCGTAGTATTAATAACAATTAAACTTGGCAAAGGTAGAACCATCATTGCTATACTATTGACTAGATCAGGACTAGCTATCCAACCAAACTGAAAATGGCTAATCACAAAAATAATAATGATTAAATTTCGATCAAGATAAACGATGTGTGTATTATTAATAAATGTGACATACTCGTGATACTTTTCTCGTTTACTTTTAATTATAGACTCAACCATGTCTCTAAATCGCACCATATGTGGCGGTACTTCCTCCAATTGATTCTCCTCCACCACTGCTAAAACCAAATTCTTATTTGTTAAAAAGAGTTGATTTATATTTCCTCTGGTTACTTTTGGGAACGTAGGAAAACGTTCTGCGTTTATCCATTTATATAAAGTCGCGTTTAATTTTTCTATGTCATTTATAGTGTGACCTGTATCGAAAAGTTTATGCCAATGTGAATTATTTTATAAGATACGTATTAATCATTGTAATTACCTTACTACCTCTTTTACTTTACTTACCAGTAAAATTATAGTGTGAATTTTCTTTATAAACTAACAATGCCGGTGTATTTTCTACAGGAGCATGTTTGTTAACAATATTTGGGTGAGACTGATAGAAAAATGCATGCGGTTGGAACACATCTGCAGTCTTGTGATAAAATTCCTGTGTATGTTCATTTTTTTTTTTGGTCAAAAGAAGTTTTTTTAATAATATACATTTAAAAATTACATTTCAATCTTACCCATAACAGCCCAGATTTCTCTCCAACATATAAAAAGTATAAACCACGTTCTCTTTTAATTGTGTCGAAACTGTGAGTTTTTGTTATTTCTTGAACTGGTGGACCGCTCACTCTTAATGCAAACTTGACTATTTCATCTCTTGTCCTATCCCCATGATAGATAAATTCTTGCTCGCCTTTTAAACTGTCCATAAATAAGCGAATATTAATTTCTTAATTTTATATATTAACAAGTTATTCTTCCACTTACAATATAATGGTCGGAAATCCCTTAACTTTGAAAGCATGCGCTACGTTCGTAAACTGAGTGCAATCAACTCGTCCTACCCGTATCGAAGTTGAATGCAAATGCTGTGCTACATTAGCCCAAATTGGTTCCAATCTTTTACAATGTGCACACCATGGTGCATACATCTGAAATGAAAATGAAAATTATAACTTTTATGAACAATCATTCTGTCTATATATTTAATATATTTAATTTATATCATGTTTGTACCATTACTAGCCATTGTCCATCCTTATGAATATCTAAGAACCTATAAAGGAATTCTAATAAATATATATGTACATATAATTTACACGTAAATAATGTAGGCATAATTATGAATATTTCACACCTGTCTCTTAATTCAAGTACACGTGATGCTGTTACATGTGCGAAAATTCCTGAAAAAGTTACATTATATTTTAATACATTCCATGACATTTATATTATACTTTACGATATACAAAATAGAAAACACTTATGTAAAGTTGTTATAGAGTATAAAAATAATTAAAGACAGGATAAATTAATGCTTAGTGCTTTTTATTAACAGAAAAATAAATTAACTATAGGCAGATTTTAAACAAAATACGTTTACTTTCTCGTACTAAAACATGTTGATTAAAAGACGCGTTATCTTTTTAATCACTGTTTCCACAACAATTGTTCTGGTAAACAAACTTCAAAGACAAAACGAAATTAAGAGTGTTTTCTGACAGCAGTATGTCATCGATCGATAGTATTTAAGGTTACGGAAAGCATATATCGAATGGAACACATAAGCGTCCGAAATTAATGTTAGAACAATATTAACTTCTGCAATTAATTAATAGTATCGACTATATTTACCATAAATAGTTGCGATGAGCACAAATCTCGTTAACGTTACCATTGCAGCAAAAGGATAGTTAATTAGGCGAAGCCTTTTCCGTTTCGAACCCCAAAATGTTGCGGTCAATTTATTTCCACATAATTACTACGGTTAACACTTTTAGCTGTTAAATTGCCACACACACGATAAATTCCAGTGTACATCTACCATGTTTTCGTTGTGCAACACCATACGGTCCTCATACCGGCTTCCCGTGACTGCTGAGTTCTGCGCTTTAAACCTAATAACTGCATGAATGTATGACAGGAGCGCTCGGAGTGGGGACGTAAAAAATGCATTAATCGCAAATTTATAAGAGTCTGTGGTTCGTGTGCATACCTTTAATGGACTTATTAATTAGGCATTATAAACCTGAGGTTTGTCTGAACTGAGAAGACCCGAGTGTATATACATCTTATATTCTACTTCTAGTCATTGTCATTATCACTCACAGAATCTCTGAATTTGCAATTTGAACTATAGTAGTACATAACATAGTACAATCCAATAAATTGTGTGAATTAAATAATTGTACGTGGGCAACGTGTAATATCAGTTTACGTTCCAAGTTACAGTGCCAACTGTTGTATCCCAGAAATGATCTTCGGTGCAAAACGACTGGTGAGTTGAATACCAACACAAATTAATCTTTCTGTTTACGAAGATCAGGATTTTATTTACACATGGTATGAAAGGTATTTGGCGTTTAGCTGAACATGAGTGACAGTTTCTTCTGTTTCATTCGTACAATTATACACGTATGTATATATATACACATATATATATTTATGTCAAAATTTTCACGTGTTTGTTGACTCGGACGTATCATCAGATTCCGTATTGGATCCAACCTCATCGGAGTCCTAAAAAGAATGTCGTAAAGTAGGCCGCGCGTAGTGCACTCGTAGAAAAATAATCGTACACTTTTTTTTTTGACATTTTCGATTGGTAATTTTGAGCCACTTACGCAAAACGTTAATCGGTAACCGTGCTATCGGGGAAACCACTGAGCAATATTAAGAGAAAGATATAGAACGAGTGTATGATGTTAAATATGATCATGACGAAGAGGATGTACGCGTAGCAAAGGAATAAAAAAGGGAAAAAAATTATGGTGACGGCAATGGTAGCCAAACTTGTCAATATACCGCCCATTTTTCACCACGTTTTGCAAGATTCATTTTTTATAATTATATGTAACGAATTTATGGGTTAATCGTCAAATCTTCAATCTTCTACGTATTTTGTTGCTGTTGTCCAGTCTTTGGATATTTCAAACCGATCGAACAGAATTTAAATTTGAGAATTTATATTTCGCAGCTACGCGCATTGGCATTAATACATTTGAAAATTAGAACCTCCACATTTGAAAAACGTCATCGCGTTAAATAAACATTTGTATAAATAAAAGTTGAATATTTGTGAAAACCACGGAACTTTATTATATTGGGTGTTTTACTGGTTTTCTTTTTTTTAATAAAAAATTGCGTACCTCTTCTCCTGTTTCATAGTATTCGATAGATAACGGTTGGACACCGACTACTTCGAGTAGAAATAGGAAATAAATGGTGAGCAACATGTTCATTAAGCTCATTAGACAAAAAGAATGTAAATATAGTAAATATAAGACGGGTAGAATAATTAGTTTAGTAAGAAACTTAAAGATTCCACCAAAAAAGGTACCCATTGTCGTAATGGAAAATAATATATGCGCTGCTTGCTGAAGTTTCATTTATATTCGGACAATTTTACGGTAACTCGTAAAACGTACGAAAAATTCATTCCTACTTTATAAAGCACAAATGTTTCACTGATAAATATAATCGATTTCTTAACCAGCTTCATGCATATAACCAATAATTGACATACAATTACAAAAGTATATACAAATAAATATATAAATAAATATATTTTTATTATCACAACAATTTTCATTTAATCCAATTTTCTTTTCTATTTAACATTCAAATGTATTTTTTCCCTTCACTTTTATATCACTTTTTGTCCCGTCTTTTTGATACTTTCAAGAATATCAGAAAAATGTTTATATTAAACAAAGAAACACTACACTTTGTGTTTATATATTGTAATGAAAAGCTAATTTATTACTCTAAACGTGTAAAACATACTAATCGTATATAATACTAAAATACATAAATAATACTTTTTTATGGAAGGAAACACAACTTTCCTGACAGTCAAGCACAGTGGAGTCCGTTTATAGCGACATTCAAGGGACAGAGAAATTACGTCACTGTAAACGAATGTTGTTATAAGCAGAATGAAAATATATATGAAGTAATGTATATGGGAACCGAACTTAGACAGCAAGTTAGAAGCGGTGTCGCAATAACCCGGACTGCACTGTATATATAAAACAAAAACTTATTACAAGTTCGACAACCTCATGTACATTACAAAACTCAGTCCAGCTTAATATAACTTAAAGTACATGCAAAAAAATACACTTACAATCAAAAGTAAGATAGATAGAATCCATTTTCTAAGTATAGCTATTTTCTCTTACCATAATATATATTTTTACATATAAATATATTTATACATTGAATGTTTTATTCCTGCTTCCTTACTGAAATTACTTCAAGAAAGATTTTTCTTTCTTCTAGGCATAGGAATAGGCACTTCGTTTTCAATAGTAAAAGTTGCATTGCTGATCGCTGAGCTATCGCTTCCGGTACGTCCAACATTTGCCAGATCGTTTTCTGTGTCGGTTCCAATTAAATCTTCATTGCCTAATAATTTCATCGAGCCATCGTCGTCGTTCCTCCCGGCATTATTTTTTTCAACAACATACGTTCCGGCACTTCCGGAAGAATTCGAACGATCGTTATTAAATGAATTATTTTTAGAACAATCTTTCACTTTACGTTCCTTAACTGGAATAATAAACGAAGATTCTATACTTTTTGCCGCAAACATATTCACCACTTCGTCATGATCTTTATTTCGTCGATAATTCGCCGTGCTGTCGGAAAAATGCTTCATCGCATCGTCCTCGTGTATTCCATTGCTCTTTGACACATTCGCGCTTTGAGATCTCTTCTTGGTGTTCGAATCGCCCGCCTTTGTTCTACCTAACCTCTCCAGCTCCATGACTTCCGGTTTCACGCTGCTGGCTGTACTCGATTCAAAATATGAATTCGAATGATCCTCACCGCTCCAATAAGCGAACGACTTGTTCTTCCTCGTTTTCGTTCGTCGTCTCTCTATATTCTCGTTCTGAATCGTAAAAATTCTATCCTTACTCGTTTCCTTGGTAAACGTATGATTTCGCCCGGACTCGATGTCGCCTGACGATCTGGACGTGTTCGACAGAATTCTGTCGATCTTCTCGATGATATTATACAAACGATTCGCGCTACGGCTCTTCATAGTCGCCTCGGTCTCGTTCAATCGCAGAAGCTTCATCTTTGTGTCCGTGCGTTTGCTGTCCTTTTCCAATAGCACTTTGTTAGACGACTCATCCACGGGAGGAGTATTCAGTTTGCAACCACGACTGGACTGCAGACTTCTCTCCCTCAAAATTGCCTCCGGTGTATGAATTCTGCTGCTCGATCGTGATTTTTCCCTGGGCGTCACAGGAGTGTTCAAGATTCTCAAAGAAGTGTCGCCGATAGCTGTTTTACCCGTGATATCCCCGACCGTCTTCAGTCCTATGTCTTCGCCGCTGACGTTTTTGTTGAACCTCAAAATTTTCACTGGTGCGGGACTACCGAACGTTGACAAGGCCAACACGTGGTCGTACGGATGATAGTCCACGCAGGTCACCGCGCGGAAATTCTTGTCCAGCGTGTACCGTGCGAGAAGGCTACCTGTTTCCAGATTCCAAATGTTCAACGTGGAATCCTCTCCTCCGCAGAGGATCAAACCGCCACACGGTGATATACAGGCTGTCGATTGTATCCTGTAATAAATATTTCTGCCAAGACCGGATTTAGGGTGATTAAAGTATTAAATTCTAGGCCGTTGTACTTTCTCAGGTAGCACATGACGCGTAATGACGGCTTAAAGGCGCCTTAGACTTAAAATAGCCGTAAAATGGATGTCTTCAAGGCGTCATGCGCTACTTGGGTTAGAGGCTGCCGGCTGAAAGATATCTTTGAATAGTAGTATTTAATGAGTGTTTTCAAAATGTTTACTGAATTATTCAGTTTGCGTCTACTTCAATTACGAATGTATACAGGTTTACTAGGAAATGACAATATAATGAGGTAGTAAAACTAGCAGAGCCATTAAAGGTCTTCATTGGCTGATCAACAAAAGGTATTACGACTGCGTATATACCTGACACCCTTGGCCCTGCAAAACATTCCCCCTTTAAGAGGGTATATAGATCCCCTCTCATCGGAAATCTTATAGTTTCCCGTTCATAAGTCAATTCTGAAAATTTCGGAAATACCGAAGACAGTTCTGGGCCTGACGATCCTAGCTTGATTTGAATCACAAAGGATTATAATTTATGGTCCCACTGGGTTTACTATCTCACTATGTCAAAGTCCCGTTTTCTGGAATCCATTCTTGAGAACCATTAAGTACAATGCTGTAAGTACTTTCAGAAACCTTGGATTTATGGCAGGTCATTATTGTATCAAAGAATTTCCACGCTACAATGTATACCGTTCACGCCAAATATTTCAGGCTTAAGCTATTGGCGCATCATACGTGACAATATATATATTATAATAATCCAGGAGATGAGATCGAATCTGAGCTAAATATAAATAAATTCTATATGTACTTCCGTCTATTTTCTCATCTAGTAAGACCGGAAGTTAGGCGCTACCCTTTTAAGTACTTCAGACATTTGGTAGCCAAACGCTAGAAACACATGTTTAACAATTCCTTCAAGTTATAAGGATTCTTGACCGTGTCATAAATCCACGTTGACAGCTAACAAAAGAATAAGGATATATACCTTTGATTGTTCAATTCATTGTATTTCTGCAAGACGACGCCGGTCGCTAAATCCAACATTCTTAATCCGTTGTTTCTCGAGTGGACGAGGAGCCTAGATTCCAACGGATGCAAGAGTATGGTGTTGATTATCACGCCGGTGATCTCCCTGACCTTTATCTTCCGCGATATGTGCCATTCTTTACGGAACGATTTGCCTTGAACTTTCTTCACTATCCATAAGATTATTATCCCAACGCTGTCCGCGGTCAACAAATTACTGTTCTTTTGAAAGCACATGGAATTTATAAAACCTTCGTGGCCTTCTAATTCTTGATTAAGATCCCGATTTCGCGATTTCTTATCCCGCGTCCAGATTCGGGCGATCCGATCGTAGCATCCGGTCGCTACGATTGCAGCGTTTTCGGGATCGAATTTGCCGCAGTACACGTACGATGGATGTGGCATCATCTATTACGTCCAATTAGAACATATAATTTTCACAAGCCTGATTTGCATTATTTTGTTTAAAATGGAATTTACTGTGTATATCTTCTATTTGAATATTCAAATTTCGATAATAGTGTACAATTCGGTCGATATCTCCGATTTTCTTCAAACTTTAATATGTTGGAAGGGGCTCTCTATAAGGGAAAATATCATTTTAAAAAATGTCGCAAACAATTTTGAAAATTATATTAATTTTATTAAACTAGCTCTAACCAACTCTGATCAGTATAATCCTTCGAAAATAAGCAATTAAATCTCTCGTTTAGTGTTTACAGCTTATGTTCTTTCATTTAATCTGCATTTATAATGACGTTTATGTTAGATTTCGGTTACAAATTCACTTGAAATTACAGGTACTTCTAATTGTTTGCGACATTTTTTGAAATGATATTTTGCCTTTTTAGACGTATTACCTTTCAACGTATTAAAGTTTGAAGAAAATACCTTTGAGGAAATACCAACCGAATTGTACACTATTAATAAAATTTGTAATCTATTTAGAGGACTGTCTATGGAACAACACCAGAACTTATCCCGAAAGGTTAAAATGTTCTTAAGTTTTTTAGGAACTATATTCTTCCAGATACCAAAACTCTTAAAGTAACTTATTAAAAATACTATATACCATTGTTCATGATATCAAGTGTTTGCGATTTTACTTGAACTACTAACAGTAAGCTAAAGTAACCTGTATAATTATTTATAATTATTTATAATTATAGAGCATTTATAACATTAAAAATGCTTACTTCTACATGCTGGATAATTTGATTCTGCACATCCCAAATACGAGCAGTTTGGTCTGACGAAACGGAAAGCAGATAATTATCGTTGTCGGACCAATTTAGGGAATAAATGAAAGTCTTGTGCCCGGAAAATCGTACGTGAATTTTTTTAGCCTCGACCTAACGACAGACAGATCTTGAACATATTTAACAAAGGCAGCGACATATATTCATTGATATTATTATATGCTGCTGGGTATACAAATTGCAAGGCTAAGTAAACTGTATACTAATGATTTGTATAACTCAATACGATACTTAATTTCTAAAACAGAAAAATACTGAACTTTTGTCTATTAATGTATGACAAAAAACGATTCGATGTAGTTTGATTTTCTTAGAGTAGCAATCATTATGCACAGCAGTAAGTAGGTAAATTCCACCTCATAAACGACAACAGGATAGTCTTGCTCTTCAGAATGGGTGCACGCTAAATATTTGCCGTTGTTACTGAAAGCAACGAAAAAGCAACCGTTCTCGCTGACTTCGGTCTCAAAAGTAATTTCATTTGGTACTTTGCAAGATTGTGCCGACAATCGCGTCCATTTCGGTAAATCTATGGACTTCGATGTACGGTTTAAAGTCCTTTGCGATTCACTGCGTGCGTCCGATAAATCGTATAATGACAGTTGCTGATAAAGAACTGGTTCCAATTTAGGCGGATCGATGGACGTCACCGTGACGAATAAACTGCTGGGGTACTTTTGTCTGATATTAGTTTTCCACCACGTGTACACCTGAAAAATTGATAAGAAACTTGAAATCCACAAGACAAATCACTAAACAAACGTGTTCATATAAAAGTATCAATCTAAATGTAACGTAATTTGATTACAGCTTGGTATACTAATTTGATTTTAAAACGATCCTGGCAAACAACATTTTAAATCAAACAGAAGTTAACGTCTTTTCTGGAGTCTTTATGTTTCTTTGAAGGCAAAGTTACCAAGTATTAAAGATTTTCCAAGATAATATATAAAAATGTGTTTTCTCTTAAGTATTTCTTGTAATGAGAATGACAATGCAGTGATTCAATCTATGTTTCTATAAAAAGACACTCTTCAAGTCTATTGTAATACAGTGTTGTATCTAGGACCACTTACTTCACATGTATGAAACTTGTCAAACTTTTTCAAGCTCTTACGAGACTTGTACAATTGTAGTCTAACTTTCTTATTGATGTGACAGACATTGTTCCTCCCTACAGGTTTCAAAAAAGCCCAAGCAATCTTGTACCAACAACCTTCATGGCCTATATGTAAGATTTACCAAATTATTTAAAAGCATATTTACATATTACAATACAGCATGTCTCAGAAATAACTGATCAAACATTAGGAACTGATGCTGTAGATTTTGAAGCTGATTCTATAAAATTTTAAATTCAGGAAAATGATCAGCTATAATTACTATTAATATTTTTTAATGTCTTTGCAAGATTATCAAGCAATCAAAGCTACTGCATATTTCATTCTAATTAGTCCTGTGTCATATTTTCAAAAAATACCTGGCAATTATTTAATAATATTTTCGCAATAATAACACGTAATTCCAATTAAGTGTGAAAATTATAACATTAATACGTTGTGATTTCACGAAAAAGCCAAATAATGAAATAAATGCTTAATATTACATGAAATCCTTGCGTTCTGAGAAGAAAAAAGTGAAATAACCCTCCAAAGTTTAGTTTTCTTTTTCTGAAACATCCTGCACATAAGCGTATCGTAAACACTTGCCCAATTTATCATAATTAAAGCTGGCTTCAGCAAAACTCAACAGGTCAACGATTTCAAATAAAATCATAACTTGATCGTTGTCAGTTTTTAGCAACGAGTCAAAATCGTGCTCGAAGACGAGTTCCTCTTCCCACGCAGGCACTATAGACCTATATTCTTTGAAATCATATTTACTGGTGATCATAGGCTGTAAATAAGTTCCGGATTCGGTTTTCAAGTACTCGCCGGTTTCAGCATTCACGATGTGAACCTTGACCATCGGGTGCTTCGTTATGTAATCGACCTCCAACATGTTCGCCCTATGGATCATCACAGAAATGTATTTCGCGCTCTTTTTCCTCTTCCTTTTCTTCTTTGAATCATCCTCGGTTACATTCAAACGCGGACTATTCACAACGGAACTGGACACATTCTTAGAGCTTTTTCTTTTTTCCGTTTCACTTTTCGATCGACGATGATTTCCCGGTTTTTTCTTCTTAACAAGAGATTTTCTTGATTTTTTCTCGTCGCCTGTTTCCCTTGAGTGACTATCTTCCGGATCGTCATCCTCAGTCGCAGATATAGTTTGCTGACTAGAATAAGCTTGACTATCGATAGAAGACTTTTTGTTAATTCGTTTAGATTTTTTATTCGTGGAACGCCGATCTTTTGTTGATATTTCTTCGGAGGACCGATAATTCGATCGCACAGTAATATCTTCTATGGTCTGCGATACAATCGATGCGTCCGAATCATTATCGACACTTTTATCCGAATCTGTTCTCTTGTTCGCCGTTTCATGGTTTGTTCTGTTTCTCGACGATACATTATTCTCGTTGCTTAGCGACCCATTTCTCCTTTGATTTTCGAGTTTAACAAAATTAGAATTTTCCGATTTGTTTATGGTCTCGATAGAAATAACCGTCTCGTTTGGTATCGATTTCTCGTCCGCAGACAGTTTTGATTTTTCGAACTTTTCGTTGATAATATCATCTTTCCTTTTCATTTCGATTCTCGTATCTTCATGATTGTTGTGATCGGTCTCGATTCTGAGAATTTCCTCGTTTTCCGAAACAAACGCCGCATTATCGTAACCTTCGAGAAATGATTTTTCATCGATTTCGTCTGGTTCCTGACGTAACGGAAACTTCTTTTCCCTGGGTGCAGCCCAGGAACCGGTCTTTACTTCTGGTAATCGAATTACGGAAGTGTCTTTCGACCAACGTTTTCGTGGCGGTTTTTTCAATTCTTCCGTTTGAGATTGCAGCGCCCCCCACTTCCCTCTACTCTGTGGTTTCTCTTCAATAGAAGATTGATTACAATTTTTCTTAATTGATCTACCCTTTCTTCTTTCGTTCGATTTAATCGTTGACGATCCATCAAATTCTTCTATCAAGTCTATCGAATCCACGATCTCTATATCATCAGATTTTTCCTTCTGTTTCTGATTCCTAACCTGACTGAATTTCTGGTATTCGTTCCTCTTGTCCCGAAGAGTATTAGTTTTTGAAAATATTTGAAAGCTCGGAGACCCTTTTGCCGATATGTTTACTTCGTCTATTGTGTTCTCGCTACATTTGTCTGCTTTATATTCACGATGAACGTCAACAACTACGTTCATCGATTCTGATGCGAATTCCTCCAAATCCGTAGAAACGGTATTGTCGAATCTGTCTGACTTGTTTGTATCACATATGGGTTTTTCAACATCTCTTGTCGTTTTGTCAACGGAAACAGAATCTTCGGATGATTTGTTGCTTTCATTATTCTTGGATTGTGATTTACTACTGTTAATCAGATGATAACTCGTTTCGTCTTGACTTTGTTTTTTCTTCTTCCTTTTTGCTAATGTACTCCGTGATTTTGATTCCATCGCATCATCATTAAAATTGGAAATCCAACTAGAATTTTGCAACGATTGAGCTTTTCTCATTACGGTCAGAATTATTTAATGTGTACAATGTTTATGTCTAACCAGTTGATCAAAGATACTTTTTCTTTTACCATATAATTATGAAATACTTTAAGCAGGTATACATTGTAATACTTTTGTCAATAAAGAAGAAATATTGAAAAGGGTTAAGTGGTTTAGAGATAACGATCCCTTAAATAGAACGGTATTTAATGTAAAGCGTGTTTGTGGCATAAGAGTAATTGCACCGTGTGAAGAGAAATATAATGAAGCAACGAAACATGTACTTATTCTTCGGTTTCAAATTTTATTTTAAAACGAAACGAAACATTACTTTCGTATTTTTCCTCATAATGTTTTTTTCGACAATAAAGCAAATAGCAACGTAATAATATAAACAATTCTATATATTTGTCTCGTATCTCTTATGGAGAAACATTTGACATTTAATTTAATCCAGTTTCCGTTCAATTACGTCCAACTTTTTAGAGGTTATATGACTCTTCAAACGCAGAGCATTCTTCAGATTCTCTCAATTCGCACACGAATTGATATGATTGGTCCGTATTTTCCTTCCGGTTAAATGCATCACTTAAAACTTCACGAATTCTATCACTTTTTAAAAAGTGCGTTTACACGTAACAATTTCTCCAGAAATTTTCCACATTTTTATACTTTATATGTTATAACTAATTTATGGATATTATAGAATTTAAAATTTACAAAATTGATTAGAATGATATTTCTGTATGTAATATATCTGCAATTCAATCGTGTAATAATGTAATCTATTTCGGAAAGGAAAGCTTGTATTGACATCGATAGTAACGGGTAGCAGGTGTTAAACTAAATATGGTCAAAGGTATAGGTGTTCGATCGATATATAGGGTTGTTCGGAAAGTCCGTAAGGTTTTTGGGAATAGTATTGCGGACTATCATTTCTAATTTACATTTTCCACTTTTTTTGTAAAGTTCTTCTCACTTTCCCAGTAACGTCATTATACCAGTTAAATAAAATTTCTCTTCTTTTGGTTACAAACTTCTACAACATACTGTTACCTATATGTAGTACTACCATTCATGCTAAAAGTTATTAAAACTATGAATACTACAATAAAATTAAATATACTTTGTAGATTACAGTCAAGTATATGTGGAAATTTCTATATTGCAATTTTAATCATAAAATGCCGTAATTTTGATAAAATAATATTTAAAACGAAATAAATTAATAAATGGAAGATTAAAGTTTTTTTTTAAATAATGTAGATATATGTACATATTCAAACACCACTTTTTCCATTAGTTAGTCCGTTCATTACATGTTTTTCATTGATTTCTTCATTATCTTTTTCTGCTTGTCTCGTCATTTCCTACAAAGTGTAATGGATTTTCCTAATTGAAAGGAAACATACGATCTTAGTGCATAAAACCTTGAATTACACTTACTATTTCAATAGCATTTTCATATTCCTGTTCACAATTTATTATTATTGTATCATTAATATCCGGAGTTAGATGTTTTGAATCTGGTTTTTCATCAGTTCTCACACTTGAACATTCAACTTCAATGTTAGTGTTTCTAAGAGACTTCATTTTCAATCTCAATTCTCTGTTTTTTGCCTCTATCACTTTTTCTCTACGTGTTTCTCTGTCAAGAAGCTGTTCATTCCAATAATGTAATTCCAATAAATGAAGTTAACATAATTAAACTTACCGCTGTAAATAAAAGCTTATCGTTTTTCTGATTAGTTGTTAGTGCTTCTGAGAATTCAAGTAGAAACGTTGTTCCCGTTTTATTAGCGACTGCAGCCAACTGTCCTTGCTCGTGAGGTCGTATGCATGTTAAAATTTCATCACAGACCTAGCATTTATTATTTTCAAGACATTGACAATATAAACATTTCATAAATTTAAAAAAAAACATACTTTTATACTGAGAATCGGAGAATCTTGCTGAACGAGTAAATCCCATACATCCAAAGTTCCATCCATTTTTATTAAGAAAAATACTGAAAATCTTGTTACACTCCATGCTCCACCCATTAAGAAATCTCTATGTCCACTAAAATGTCAGTTGAACACAATTTTTGCAACTATTGTTCATTAGAAGAAGCATATATTTAAATATATGAAATATAATTACGGTGTCCAAGCAATGCAAGATTCTTTACAGTCTTCAGACCATATCCTGGTTGTCCAATCGCCAATAGTAAAAAAATTCTTAACAAATGTTGGATTCCTTTCCAGTCCTATTACAGGTCCATACTGGGCTTTAAATTTTGTCGCAATCTTTTCCCCTGGAGTTTTACCTTTACGATTTCCTGATATCACTGTACCTAAGTATAAAAATATGTAAATGTAGAAAGTATACAGAATAAAAGAAACATCAAATAGACTTGATTTACCATTTTCAAGACCACACATGAATCGTGTACCCATTGATGGTTCAAACTGTAATGCAGTAATTCCAATCGCATTGTCAACATTTTGATCCTCGGGTTTAGATAAATCTATCACTAATGTTTCTGTAGGCGTTTGTAATTTTCTTGTATCCCACCACATTATCTAAAATTCAAGTAATCTTCTGCGTTATATCTATAACATAATTTTATTTTATGTTTCGCTTTACCTGCCCATCTTTCGAAGCACTAAAAAATTCAGTACCCGTTTTCGAATTTATCCACAAGACTTTATTGCATATGTCTCTATGACTAAATTCTAAAGAACTTATCTCAACTGGTTCTGGTCCTTTTCTAATGTCCCAGCAAGCTACTTGACCAGTCGTTAACCCACTGACTAATATATTACAATCTTTCGAATTATATTCCAATGATAAAATTGGACAGAATGGTTTCAACGTCATACACGGAGTATTTGGATTTTCTATAAATTTATTAAGCAAACCTGTTCAATTTTCGCACCAACTGCGAATGATTCTCCCTTAACTTACCCACATCCCAAATATATGAAACTGGATTATCGTTTGCTCTTTTAGTAAAATCAGTATTATAGTAACTAGCTGCAAAATAGTTTCCCTGATCCGGTGACCAAGAAAGATGCGTTATTTGTCTCTTCGTCGGCAAAACATCTCGATACACATTAACTGTACGCGAATATGCTCTTTGTGTTAATGAAACAGGTTCCATATAACTGAAGTATTGTTCATAGATATTACACGTATTATTTTGTAATATACAATGCTCCATTGACTGAAAATAACTTCTATTACTGTCGATATCAGTATAATTGTTGTAGACAGAAAACAATAGAAAAATTTAACTACAGGTAACAGTTGAAGCATTGTATGAATATATAATTCATCTTTTTCTATTTTACGCTTATATCTAACTACTTGTTCCGTGTCTTTTACGTTTAAATCTTTCGGCCAGCCGCCCTCAGCATGACACATACCGCTGTCTTTGAATGTTGCAGTATTTGTATTCACCTAAAGATATTAACAACAGATTGTTTTATATACTCATAAGAAATATTAGAACTTGTTATACCTCATGAGCGGAATATGTTTTCCCGCATTGAGTTCCATGAGATACAGGATTTACTTGAATATAGTTATGCATATACCCTGCATGTGGTTTAATATCAACTTCTATTTTTTGGTAATCTGAAAAGCTACAGTGCATACCAAATTGTGATCGTTTCTTTGCGTAAGTATACTGTAAATTCATTTTTCTTCGTATACTTCACTATAAATACGAATTTTCAATAAATATGACACTAGTTTTTATAAATCTACAATGAAGTGCTATACACTAATTACAGTCGCAAATTGATACAGTATTTATTTTACTCATGTTAAGAAATACACAAAAATAATAGACTGAAAGATTTGTATCACATGTGTGCTTTTAATAACTGCAGAGTTGCAGAGATCTGTATTTTCCTGTTACTATAGCAACATACATAAGTATATAGTTGTTAGCAATGCATAATTTGTTGTTCACCAAGGTATTTTTATCTTTTACACATCCGTCCTTACTAAAACTGGAATTTTTGGATTTAGACCCTGGCAAAGAATACAGATCATTTTATATATTTTTATATATTCTGGCTTTGCAGAATCAAAAGACACTGTAATGCTAGGAAGTATTTCTTCTGAAATAATATCAACCAAGTCTTTAACATATTGTATTTGCTGTAGCTGTTGTGTCATTTCAAAAAACGATAGCAATTGATTCCTGCTTGTGTATTGTATACACTGTACTTTTGAAATTCCTAAAAACAAAATAAAGTAGAATAATATACTACTGAAAATAGAGAATATAATTGTACCTTCAAAATATCTTGTATAAAAAAGGTTCCATATTCCATTTGACATCCATCCTGCCATATCTGAATCATTATAAATGAATGTTTTTTGTACATCTGATTTTCGAATTTGTAAGTTGTTAAATTTCGTTGTATTATATTTTTTCCATATGGAATTTAATTCAACATATATTTCTTTTATATTAGTCGAATCAAACATTTCTTTATCTTTGAGAAAGAAATATGAAAATTGAGATATAAATTTACTTAATAACATTATATTGTCAGTCTTGTGTACGACATTGTTTTGTATAGTAGTATCCTGCAATAGATGTGGAATAAATTTTTAACTCATTACTTTCTTAACATACCATAAGAATCACTCACCATTTTATTGAATTCTGTCAAAAATGTATTGAGCATTTTTTGTCGTTTTCCATTGTCAAGAGGTTTGTCTGAAAATTTAGTGTTCAGATACGTATGATAAGCTTTCAGTGGTTTAATTATGTCGCCAGGAATATTAAATGTATTAATACTGTCTATGACATCCATAGTTATGAAACTTTGTTTGTACACAACTTGTGAAGGTACAGTTCCATGTATTGGACATTTTGCATCCTCCTTATTAGAGAGTGTACTATTAGAAGATTGAGATGACAGTCTTTCTATTAAATTTTTTAATTCATTAGGAGATGCTGTACTAGATCTGTTATCAAATCTAAGACACTCAGTCTATGTAGAAAAAGTTATAACAATTAATATAGTTTCTTTACCTAATATCAATTAAGAAACAAATTAAAATATATAGCAATACAATTAAATTCAATTTTTATTAGCTAAGTACTTCGAAAACTTCATTTAAATAAGAATGTTTCTTATTCTTTTTTTTTTTTAAATTTTGTATAAAATCGGTATTGAAAGAACTATCAAAAGTGAATAAAAACAACTGTGGTAAACAGTTCGAATGTGTATTCTCTAAATACTACCTTTGTTATAGAACAACTAGATTTAGAATTATTATCCAACTTCTGGTTGATATTCTTATGTTTTTTAACTTCCGGTATAGTTTTAATATTTCGTTTGTTTATTGCAAGAAAATTTTTATTTCTGACGAACTTCGAATGTGCTGCAAGTTGTTTCGTACTGTTCTTTGTTTTGTCAGTATTTTTATTTTCATTCTTTGCTGCTACAGTTGGTAATTTGTTATTGCTTGTACTTAAAGTTTTATCTTCTTTTTTTCTGCCGTCACCTAATTTAATAACAAACGTATCAATGAAAATCAGTTTAATGTTAAGTATATTATCCTTTCATTAAATAATTACCAAATGCGTGAGGATTATAAATTTTTGACAAATTAGGTTGTTTTAAATGGTTCTTTTCTTTTATTACATTAAGGGATAACTTTTCTCGCAGTTGCTGTGTTTGCAGCAATGTTCTACTTATTCCAGCAGCAATTTCTTCAACTTCGATTTCGGACTTTCAAAGGAAAAGATGTAAATTAACACGATTTTATTATGAAAGACATATAAAAGACATATTAATTGCCTTACTTTGAAACAAGTACAAGCATTCGCAGCGTCCTCCTGTTTAACAATAATTTTTTTACACCACGGTTTTAAAGAAAATATTGCTTCCTCGCAATCAGATTTCAAGATATGTTTTACTTCTTCTGTAAATGCCAATGTCTGAAGCAGAAATTTATTCAATGCTAGAAGATCGTACGTTTGCTCCATTCTTGCAATCGAATCTTGGTGTTTCGGACGAGAACAAAGAGATAAAAGTAACGGTCAATAAAAAAAAAAGACGATTAATATTCGGATACATAATCTAGATAAATCAATACAGAAAATTAATTGTGTCACTCAAAGTGTTAATTGTGCTCGTTATTATATAGATCATATAGGTACCATATATTTCTAATATATTCAATTATTTTCTCTGATACATACGCTAAATTTATATGAAAATATATGTGTGTGGGATCAGGACCCCCAGATCCGTTATGAAGGGTTAGAAAACTAGGAAACGCAGAAGAGATCCATGACTATGGTTGTTAAGGCAGGAGCCGGTTAATCAAAGGATCTTAAGAACACATAGTTCCAATCCCGTCGCCTAGTTCCTCTTTTTCCCTAGATTCCTACAATTGGGAACTCGTCCGGGATGGGGGAACAACACCGACCACAGAAGAGACTACTTAACACTTTACCGTCCGGAAGCTTTATTAATCGGCTTTCCATTGCCAACGTTTGTCAACCGGGAGCCTATTATGGAATATTACTTGTCCTAACGACGTTATCTCACTCAATTGAGCCAGTTAGTTGGCAATGCTTATCAACATTATTAGTACGCGGGGCGGTAAGGTGTTAAGGATAACTTTCTTTTCTTGCTAGGAGTCATCTCATACCTAGTGTTTCTTTTTATATGGTTACTCGGTTGAACTCAGAACACTGAAGTTACTTCTACCTTAAATGTTCATTGAAACGGTCGTACCGTGGGTTATAAATGCTGTGTAAATGGAAATGTAATCATGAGCGACGATTGTTCGGAAAACTACGTTTTAAAAACTTCTACTTTATCATAGTAAACAGAATAGTTTCTAGTATTTGTGTATTCTTCGCGCGCAAGTATGTATATATATATATATATATGATGTAGTAAAAAAGAAAACAATGCTCTCTTAGAAAAATAAAACGCGATCAATAATTTTGCGGGAATCTCAGCTTAATAATTTTTCACAAATTATACCTTTACTGATCAACATTATGATATAAAGGTATCATGTGTAAACGTTGCAGTTTCCATAGGGCAAAAATTTCAATAAAAAAAAGGGCAAAAATTGCAATAATAAAAAATGGTCAAAAACAATACGAGTGGCACAAGTGTTTTGCTCCAAAATTGTGTTTCGATATACATACACAAGTAATTTCCGTATCCGAGATTTATGTAAAATACATTTTAAATCTAAAATATCTAAAATAATTGATTTCTTTTCAATTATATGCAATATATCACATCAGACAGTCGTATGGAGCATTGCATCCTGTACAAATTATGCCAATCGTATTATATAAAGCAATTACCCGAAACTAGAATTACAAATGTTTTTACTTCTTTTGGAGACACGTTTTCATTCTCGAGCATTGTTGCATCGTCAAAAACAACGGAAACATTTGTAACTATAGTTTCAAGTAACTCGTCCAAGACGTATAATATATAAACGAACCCTGTGTAAAACTGCAATACTTAACAGTTAATTGTACACATTTAAAAGTTGATTAAAAACTTATGTCTGAAGTTAACAAACTGGCGATGTGTGAGTAAGAAGTCTCATATAAATTAACCTTTTGCAGATAAATACCGACAAAAATGAACTATATTGAATTTCCTGCGTATATGAAAAACTGTCGCTATTGGTGCAGACCACTACAAGGTAGGTAGACTGAACTACGTGGCACCCAAAAGGTACTGTCAGATGAGTGAAACTGTAAACTCTGTGACATAATGTGAATTATTATTTATACCTATTTTGCAGTAGTTTGTCATTTTTAAGCGACATTCAACATTATATGTAAAAAATTAATGCGGTCACTTGGTGGCATTCATCCGCAAAGGGTTTACATCTTTTAAGTAGAATCATGAAGTTTATCAACTGCAAATAGAAATGGAAAATTATTTGATTCATTTTTTAATGATATAACTTTTATAATTCGTCTTTCCTTGGCACATCATCATCCTCATCTTCTTCTTGAGCCTGTAAAAAAAAATTTCCGTTTTTGAGATCAGTTCGCGGTAACATAACCTACTGCCGTTTAGAAAGCATACGAACTTCCTCTGCAGCTCGACTGATAGCACCACCAGACTCAACAAATTTGGAAAGTCCCTCGAGTGTTCTATCACCGGTACATTCGATAGCCTAAAAATATTTAATTTATTAATAATCGTTCTACAGTAATTAAAGATTTAATATAATTTAACTTTGAAGTGCTTACTTCGTTAGTTTCTTTCTTATAAAGGATAATTGTTGGGTAGGTCATAACATTCACATCTTCCAATTCATTTGCAGTAGCATCCATTTTCGCTATAACTATGTCTTCACTGTCCTTGAATTTTTCTCCTAGCTAAAAGTATATGAAGGTAAATTGATAAATTTCTATTGAAATTTTTGTTCCGTTTGAAGGTCACAGAAAACAATATTTGGATGATACATACTGCTTCGTAAGTAGGAACCAGTTGTTGACAGTGTCCACACCATGGAGCGTAAAATTCAACTAAAACGTCCTTCTTCTTATCAAATGCAACTTCATGGAAGTTAGTACCAACAAGAACTTTCACGGGGTTTTTGTCCCAATCTTCGGGCAAGTCTTGTGTAAGTAAATGTCTCTTCAGTTTCCCTTCAACGAAAGCAGTGACGAATTCTAAAATATTTTCGCTGGATATTTCGGGATTTTCTGGCCTGTACTTAGACATATCCTTTTCGAGCTTGATAATACGCATGACAGGTACTTCGGACTTCTTCATGCCAAAGTATTCTAAGATGCGTTCGTGATCAGACTCATCGGCATTAATGGTAACGAATAAGACCTGTGAAACAATTTTATAATAATACGTTATTATCATACATTTGTTAACGTTTAACCCGATTTTTTTATTTCTATACAGTCCATTTTTATACGCACCTCTCCACGGAATTTCCTTGCTGGTTCCTGAATCTGTTTTACATATTCCTCAAAGTGACCAGCTTCCTTACTAAGGAATATAAGAAGATGGCTCTTGATGTCACCACTGAAAATCTTTTGCGCTGTATCTTGACTAAATTCGACAACTAAAGGCAGTGCATGTATAAAGATAAAGTTTTGGAGTTTCTTGACATCAAGCTCTTCAGTAAATTCGTTTGTGCCTTCGTCAAACTAAAATTAAAATCAATTAAGTAAAATCTTCACAAAGAAGAAAACATATACACAAAGAAATATAAAATAAAATGTTAAGTGTCTACCTTCTTGAATAAAACCACTTTACCATCTTCCACATTATATTCCTTCATAACTTCCTCGCTGCTGGTGACAGCAAATCCATGATCATCAATGGTATTTGCAACTTCCATAAATACTTTTGCTCCATCTGACTCTGCATCCTGTTACAACATATATAACACAGCAGACATTAATACAAGTTCACGTACAATAAGTAATTATTTTTGATAAAATAAGTAACATAATCAAGACCTTAAAGAATCCAACAATTGCAACATTGTGTGCTTTGATAAATGATTTAGCTTCGTCGACCGTTGGTAAATCTTTAGCAGCTGGACCACTCTTCTTTGTTACCCAGTTTATAATATCATCAGCTTTACGACCACCGTTGTAACCAATAGCATTACCCTTGCGGTAGAATTTAAGGGTGGGATATCCTTTAACATCATGCTTCTCAGCTAACTCTGTTTCCACAGTCGCATCAACCTTAGCTAACTTTACAGGAGAACCAATTTCCTCTAATTTCATTGCTGCTTTGGCATATTCCGGAGCCAAGGCTTTGCAATGTCCACACCACGGAGCATCTACAGGTTACAGAAAATAGAAAGTTATTGCATCATAACAAATTCATGATAAATTCAATGATATGAAAAAAAATAAAAATTTTCCAAAAAACTTATTACCACAATTTCGTTTAATATACACATTTATGAAAGTAATAAACAGACGCGTAACATTTTTCTTTTCAGTAAGTTATAAATCATAAATTATTGTAATGAACAATAAACAACATAACATATTGCACAAAACGTGAAATTTATTAGTAAGTGTAGGGGCTGAAAAGTTTAATACTGAAACAAGTACCACGCAGAACATTTCGATAATTCATAGTTAAATAGGAAATCCGAATATTGTCAACAAGTGGCATAATCTTAGAAACCGGCTTCCAAATGATGACGTGTAAGGGACCGAGCATCTGGATCAGCTTCGGTCAAACTGTAGATGTGCGTACAAAATCGGCGAACGAAATTACGAACATCTGAATATAATTAAAAGATACCTTTAATGACAAACAAACGACACGCTACTTACAAAATTCGACGAGCATATAATCATTTTGCTCGATAGCTTCTTCAATATTATCTTTCGTCAGCACTAACACGGCATCCTCGGTTTCAATTTTCGCGAGAGTAGCGGCGACGGAGAATATTACTAAAAATACCAGCGTACAAAACTTCATTTTTCAAACGAAAATAACACGATTGCTCACTGAATTATATGTCGACACGCAGGAAGAATTGGCCGATCGTAACGAGAAAAGACTAAACCTGCCGTTACGGTAGTGGGATCGAAGAAGATACCGACACAATCCGCTGAAGAACACGAACGAAGTGATCAAGTACAATGATGCACAGAACTATACAGTCGGTAGATCGTGGTTAATGCGTGGCATCACATTCATCGTGGTAACCGCTGATTGGCCGGCGGAACACTTGAGGATTTAGTAGGATGTCAACCTGAGATTATGTAGTGTAATAAGGGGTCAAGATATTTTATTTTTCAATGATAAATGCGATTTTCACGTTTCTTAAGAAACCCTCGAGTATTCGACACTTTTTTTTCTAGAAACGTGAATAGCATTCCAAGATAATTTTTTGTTTTGAATTCTATGCAAACTGGTATTATGATCACATGCAGTGGCGAAGGCACAGTGTAACGGTACTTGTTTGCATTATTTCAAAATACTATGTCCTTTTGAAGTAAGGTGTAAACCGTAATGACTAATAAATTATAAATGGAATGTATATAGGTTATAAAATGACTTTCATTAAGAAGTGACAAATTGTAAATATAAAAATGTGTAATTGAGAATAAGAAAATTAATAAAAATTTGGATAGTTTGTGGCCATTGTTTTGATTTGTTGTTGGCTCTGTTATACACATTTCCTACATTTATGTTTTAATTTTATTAATGAAAAAATTTAATTACTTTAAAATATATATAATATGTGGTATGCAATGTATATTCGAAATTTGTTCCGCATTTTTACAAACAGCATTCTTCTTAAATTAAAAAATACATATGCATGTAATAATATAAAAATTTGTTTATATAATATCATTTTTATGTATATGAAGAGTGTATTTTATAAGTGACAAATTTCTAGCTTCAAAATATTTTAATCAAAATAAACAATGATTCATAATTAAAGTAAATTTTTTGTGTAAAACACGTGTCATAATACATTACAATTATAACTATAGGAAAATATTGCATCGATAACAGAAATTGTAGACGAAAAATCTTTTTAATAGTAGTTTTGATATACGCATGTGACGCGCGGCAACATTTTTTATATCTTTTAAACTTAAATTAGAAAATAAAATTCTAATATCTTTTACAAGCTTAAATGCTGGCATAATTTTTATTTCTTATTTTCCCATAATTATTGTTAAAAATACGGCATTTATGTTAATCTGTGATATCTTTAAAGTCAATTCGAAACGCACTTAAAACCACCGAAAGTAATTGTAAAATTTGTTAGAGATGAGGCATATTTTAATCTATAATAATACATTATGTAAGTGCAGTTAAAATATAAGTCCCTGAAAGAAATGTGTATGCATAAGTCGTAGTTGTGCACAAACGGTAAACCTGTCATATTTCAGTAATTTTGGTCTCAGTTAAGTGGGTATAATGCATGGATACCCTATTTAATGATATATAATCATTTCCTACCTGTAAATGTGTACTTGTATAGTTAGTGAACACATATTTTTTCATAGTGCATGTATATTTAATTGGATGTAAAAATAATTTATTTATTTAATCTTCCTTCCACATACCATTATGATAAAACAGTAATTTCACTATTTTTTGCTTTATTTAGGAAAGATTGTTGGGAAACATATTCTGTTTCATTCAATAATTTAAAAGAAATCATTGGAAAGTCAGAACATTTGTGACGTTAACATTGTTTATATATATTAGTGACATTCATTATTAAAAATGACACTATATAAAGTGACATCAGAAATATTCACAGAAAATAAGAATTCTTTTGTAACATTAAACAATGGCAGTGAGTGTTGCTTTTCATATAGTAATGTACTGATTAAATCATATTTTTATATAATTTTACTACAAAATATATGTTAATTATATATATATTTATAATTGTATTTTTTAGCTGCAATATCCTGCTTCATCTTTAGGTATCCATCCTATATGCTTAAACCAAACTGTGCTAACAACATTATAACACATGACAGTGATGACGATTTAGATGTAGATAGGCAAAAAGAAGGAAAATTACTAATAGGTATAAATTAAATTTTAAGCTATTATATAATATCTGAAATTATAAGTAAATATACAAATATGCTTTTAGAACATTATACATCTACAAAACTACAACATGTTGGATTGCAAGTATGGCGAGGTGCTTTATTGCTAGCCGACTACATATTGTCCAACCCAGATTTATTTAAAAATAAAACAGTTTTAGAATTAGGTGCTGGAGTAGGCTTAACTAGCATAGTAGCAAGTTTTTTGGCTAAGGAAGTAATTTGTACAGGTAATAATAGGAAATGAAAACTATAATACTGATAAAATTATAAATCATGATCATACGTACAGTTCTCATTGCTGAGGCTTTCGGGTGTAAGCCGTGTCGTTGTGGGGTCGAAAATACATTGATACTGGTGTGTGTCTTAGAGCCCTTGATGAAGCTAGCTGCATTGCTTGTAAAACGTTGGGAAAACAATTCCACAAGGACATGGCTTACACCCGAAAGCCTCAACAGTGAGAACTGTACAATGCCGGGCCATGAAAGCCTCAAATCTCTGACATCATACATACTGAATACTATATTGATATTCTTTGTCTTAGATGTTGACGTAGAAGGAATTTTAAGATTGATACGTAGGAATTTTTTGAGAAACAATGATTATGTTAGGTCTAGAATTTATGTTAAAGAACTAGACTTTTTAAATGTAACATGGCCAACGTTCTATGAAAAAAGAATGAAGGAAGCAACAATTATTTTGGCTGCAGATGGTAAGCTATAGTTGAATGCAACTTATATTAAAACTTTAGTCAAGTTTATAATTATGTGGTATGTCTTTCTTTTCAGTAATTTATGATGAAAACATAACAGAAGGATTTGTTCAAACGTTAAAGAAACTTTTAAATTCAGAAGTTCCAAAGGTAGTCTATATTGCTTTAGAGAAAAGGTATGTCTTCACTACAGCCAATATGGATACTACTGCTCCGATGTATGAAGAATTTTTAAAACGCATTGAAACAGAAAAACAGAACTGGCACATCGAGTATATTAAAATAGACTTTCCACGATATTTCAAGTATGATAGATTAAAGCAAATGATACTTATGAAAATAGAAAATAAATTAAGTGACTAATCTAATGTAATATATAATAATTAGAAAATAATTGACGAAATCATCCTGAATATCTATATTACAATATAATTGACAGTAAAAATATATACACGTATATTAATCGGTATATAATTTGTAACAGTATTAAGTAAACAAATTAACAGTATTATAGAAAATCAAATCGACTCAGTGGTATAAGTTAGAATTACAAATCGTAACTCTGTAAAAAGATGTATGTATTTAGCGGTAAAAATTCTTTTGCATATGATCAATACTGTTATTGATTTTGATTTGAAAAAAAAAAAAAACATTCGATTATTATAATCAACTACTTATATGTACACATGTAAATACTACATTCAGTCAAAAATGGATACTCACTATTATTAAATTGGAAAATTTTGCTAATAAAAGTACCTCCATCTATAATTATTCACAGAGTTAAACTCCTTTCGTAACGGTACTATTACGTTTAAAACGCTAAAAAAAATGTTTAACCACAGTAAATAAAAATATGTATGATTTTGATCATGTCCATGTGTTTATTGTAGTTTGTTTATTTACAACCTAGCATAAGTAATATTAATGGACAGTGATTAAGAGTCGTTCGAAGAGAACAACGTTTCCTCGTAAATAAATATTTACTACAAGCTTAAGCGAGATTAGAAAATTTCGTCTAATTGAATTACAATAAAACATCACGTGTATTTACGTACGGGAATGTAAATGTTTCTTCGAACGACCATCGGCAGTAGAGGTGTGTATATTACACGCAGAATAAGTTCGTCGTAATATTACATACTAAATTTTATCGACAAGTTCATCCGAGAGAATGACAATCGGCGTGATATTATTTTGCTAAATAAAAATCATAAAGAGATTTAACACATTACAAAATGAGTACAAATACTCAACTTAACAGTTACAAATTAGCGACAGTCACTCTCATATTCAGATTCCCTGGCTTTTTAAAGGCACTTCTTTATAGCTACTTATTCCGTATTTTGGGTAAAACTTATAATTTACAGCCTCAGTTTATTAAATTGAGTTCACAAGAAATATTTGAAGTGATCGCATAAATATTCAAGGACCCGCCATTCAAGAGATTGCGTGATAGCTTTTCAATTTTATAACAACCTCGGATGTTAATGAATTCATCTACAAATCTAATTGATAATTTAAATTAATATTATGTAGGAAGTACAACTGTTTTACCATGTAAAAGAATAATCTATTACTTCTAATTACGAATTTACTGGAGCGATTCAGTGTTACCTCATGTTATTTCACAAATAGTAATTACATGTAAATTTTAATATATTATTTTTTGCTATTTTCACGGCTGTTCTCTTGATTTGGGTTTTGTTATTCGAAACATTTCTACATTTTACAATTAATGAAAAACAGAAGTATACGAGGCAATATGATTTTTGTACATTACTAAGCAATTAATTTCAGAGAATTGAAAAATAAAGTGCCACTGACTAGACCAAAAAAAAACAGGTTATATTATATTTCCGCGAAATAAAATTTTTTTCGATTACGTATACTCGAATTCTTCTTTGATATTTCATTGTGACGACGTTTTCAACAAAGATCATAAATTATACAAGTTCAGTTGATCTGAAAATTTGTTACTTCTGTAATTTTTATATTAAATTTCGCGAATTCGTAGAAAATTCATTTATCAGCTAGAGCAGTGATTATCAAGTGTTACCTTAATATCAATCAATCTATTCGGAATTATATCTTTGCAACAAATACTGTACAAAAAAAACGTACAATTAGCATAGTGCGACGAGTGTGTAACATTTAACTAATAACTATTTCCATTTTGGGGTGGTTTTTGGAGAACAGAACCACTATTAGGTATTGAATCCAAAACCAATTTCCTTCTATGATATTCGGTGGTCGCACTTTCACTAGCCATCGATTTTCGGCGTAAAGGCGTTGTATTCTCTAAAGTTTGAATTATCGAGTTTGTACTTTTACGCCGTGTGGGCAAATCATTGTTTTGCCTTTGTCCCGTCTCATTCTGATTGGACGTCCCATTGGACATCGAGACGTTCGATGGCGTTTTGCTGTTTACAGTACTCGTCACGCACACCGTGGAAGCAGTTTTATTTGCGTTGCTTTGCACCGAAGTGAATGACCCGGTATTTTTATTAACAGAGCTTTGAATTGTATTATGATTTACCGACTTGTTCGACGACGTGGTTATCATGCTAGCATGTTTACTAACATTGTTGTGGATAGACACCGTCGTTTTTACATTTTGCGAATTCGGAGAGCCAAGCGGTAATGATGTTTTTCGCCTCGCATTAGAACTTCCCCCGTCGTTATTGAAATTTACTTTAGTACTTGCACCACTGTGTTTAGTAACATCCGTAGACGCATGACAACCGGAACTAATCCATTTATCAACCTGAGCCTCGTGTGATTTCTGTAAAACCTTTCGAATATCACTGTTTTCACCACCTTCTTTCATAATCTCTTGTAACTTCTGAATCGTTTGATATAAAATCACAGGGCTAATTAGACCGAAATCAAACAAACTACACATATGCAGAACGAAATTACGATACAAATTTTTCATGAGCAATTCCTTCCCTTTAGTTTCTAAAAACATTTGGCAAGCTAGTGGTATTTGGCAGTCTCCCACGTAACCGTGTTTCATCACGTGTAAATTCCACATTTTCATCAGTTCTTTCTCCCCCTCGTTCACGTCCGTGAAGTCATCGATCATCATCATAGTTTTTGTTTGCAACCATTTCGGATCGTTTTCTCCTTCAGAATCAATATCCATTTCTTTCGGATATATGGGTAAACACGTCACAGTATGATGATACAACCTATACATGTATAAAAAAAAAACAAACGTTTTGTAAGATGCATTCTACCATATAGCCAAGGATATTCACGCATCTTAGCTGAACGAATGTACCTATTGTGTCCTGTAATGTACGGTCTTTGGTTTTCATATTCATTTTCATCGAGTTCCAGAAACTCAGAAAGACTCGGTTTTGTCCTCTTCGGACGACATACTAATATATTCGTTACACTTGTGCGTCTCGTTGGTCCTGTTCTCGAGAAAGCTACGTTTGAAGGTTGCGATATCAATTCGTGAGGACTACCTGCGTATGAACCATCATAGCATTCATTTATTGCTACATCTATACGAGCACCTTGTGGTATCGGCTATGGAAATGAATATAATTTATTTCACGACGTTCGATCGTTCGAATATTTCAACATTAATGAACTTACCACGTATGTGAATGTAAATCGCGAATGACACAATTTTAAGTGCTTCAAAAGGGAATAGAGTTTCCCGCAATCTAACGAGCACCATGGACAATGCAAATCTTCGCAGGCTTCTGTTTGCTGACGACTATTATTATTATACAAAAATTGATAAACTATTTGCTGTGTACTCATCGAATTATCTGTTTTTTCATTAGATGTTACCATTCTCGAAGGATTAAGAGGACTAGCTGTTGGCAGTGTAGTATTGTTATTATTATGATTACTATTATTATTGTTATGATTAATATTATTGTTATTGTTATTTGTGGAAGAACGTTCTAGAGCAGCTGAAAATGATCCAATATATTAATATTTTATTTTTTTCTTTCCAACCAAATATCATTTTATAAGAAATATAGAAAACTTACTGTTTCCCGATCTGTTTTCTTTGTTATCGCCATTTGGTACTGGATGTATCGGAGCTGGCCTATCCACCAAACCGTTGCTCGGTTCGGTGGTCCAATTAAGTCTAAATTTCAATGTTGGTCCCTTGCTAAATACTTCGAAAGGACCACACTCCTTGATATCAGGTACAGACTCCCAAGAGCTGTGCTTCTTTGGGCTAGATCGTACATTGGTTTGTACTTCCTGCAAACCTAATTCATAATCGCCGTCTGTCAACAAACATCGATTATGTTTATCGTACACTATGAGTTCAGAACCGTACAATTTTACTTCTTCTCCTCCAGTTTTAATCGAGCCTGTGGAGGATTTACGACGTTTTTGTGCTGGTTCTGAAAACAGAGAAAGAACTATGTACATTAAATAATGATACTTTTTCGATCCGATATCTATACCGCAAATGTTTACAAACCGTCTAAATCACAACTATGCATAAGGCAGCCAGTACTGGATGTACAATAAACTCTAAGTAAAAGCATGTAAGTCTTTGCTACGTGACCATTGTTCAAGCTAAAAGATTCATTGGGTATGGATATAGTAGGTGCTTTTGGCGGAGGTTGATTCTCGCATGGATTTATTGGAACTTCGCTCGTACCGACAGAAACCTGAAGCAGTAAACAGTTATGTTGCGACAATGTCCAACATAATCAATTTTTCCTTTATTTTTGACTAAACAGAGAATCGCGCAAACTATACTTACCTGCATAATTGGTGAACTCACATCCTTCCGCTTCTTATGGCAAATTTTCAATAATAATGTTTCTACCTTTACAGGATCTTGGGGTACATCAGCTGCAACGACATTATCATTATTATATATAAAAAAAAATTTAACTCGTGCATCTTAAACGTTGAATATGTTGTCTGTTAAAGGAAAACTTGAAACAGAGTGTTTCTTTTACATAAATTTACCTTTCTTGTCATAGAAACCCAGAAAAGTAAGAGTCATATATCCACGGACACCTGGATTATCCTCTTGATTCTTCTTTGACATTAACTTTTCCAACATCGTGTCAATTTTAAATCCTCGTCGAGCCTTATGACTTCTAGACATACGTTGCCTCATGTAAGTTAAATTTCTATACAGAAATATTGGCTAAAAAGAATTATACGAACGTCAATAATTTTATACGTATTTCACTTTTATAAAAACACACATATTTCAATGTAAATATGCAAAAACTTGAGAAACTGAAGTGAAAAACGTATTTTTAGAAACAATATTATAACGTAAATTTATAAAATAACAAATCTGTATACCTACTATGTTAAGCATTAAAAGTAAACATAAAAAGTTTTAAATGTATATTTGTATACACTTTATCATCACATGTTATAGTACCATACATAATCACAAACGCACCACTAGGACAGTTTACATGTATTTTGTAATAATCCATCAAAAATTTGATACAAAAAAATGTATCAAAATATATATGTATATCCGTTTGTTAATTATTACAAAACTTCATTATTCTATTTATTATATATTTTGTATTACGATTACATATCAACATGTTCAATTAACACTTTGAGGACACGTTTCATCACAAATAATCAGTAATTTATGTAAAATATAATGTAAAAATAGATTAATTTCTCTTTACTCACGGAGATTTGGTTTCTTGTGCGTAGAAATCGATAAATCTGGGTAGGTTCTGAAAAATAGTAAAACTTATGTAGTAGGGGATAAAAAATATTAAAAGAATTGTATTCCTAACTTTGAAAATATACCAAAATTGAATTATAAAAGATATGTAGTTCTCTTGAATGCCCCTAGATGGCTCAGAGGTTGAACCTTTCTCAAAAGTGAAATGGTTCAAACAGTAGTTTAAAAGATGAAGTCTCATATCATCTCATACTGAAAAATTGATCTTTCCAGTTCAAATGGGATGTGATGATTGGGTAATTCTCGTTTTTATATGAGACGCCTGCATGCTCTTAATTTTGTTACGCTTAAGCAGGTTAAACCCTTCTGATCCCAATTTTTTAAAAATTATCAAACAGAAAAATGTCAAATCCCCTCCCTATTCCTCCCTTAGCCTACAGTTAGGTTACCCTGAACTTAGCCTGCACTGTGGAATTACATGGATAAAAAAATTCTAAACAAAACAAATATTGTGGATTAACATCGCGATTGCACAGTTCTGTAAAAAAAAATCCTAATGGACGAGTAGTGTGGGGTTAACACCACGTTTAACATTACGTGCAGAAGAAACATTCAAAAACGATCATTTTAATTGAATAAAACATAACTCTAGTGTAATATTATTCAAAGTATACTACTGGATGGAACATTTTCGAATATCAAATATATGTACATTGCAAGGAGAACATTGAACGATGGTTACAAATGAATTTAAATCTCTTTTCAACCTACAGAAGCTTTTCCATTTATTCAAAATAAGGTTTCTTTGACAGTAAAATTTTCCAATTGAGAATGCATTTAACACAGAAAAGGAATGACAGGTGTCCCATGCGGATTAAAGTAAAGGAGGGAGCGAAGAGAACCGACGCGCGCTTCGGCGCTCCGTACGTTTTCAACCAAAGGGGTTATGTATGATCACTTCCAACATTTGTAATAAACATTCGTGAAAGGAAAGGGATGTTAACTACATCAACCTTAAGAGTTTAGATACTGATATTTCATCGACTTCTAGGAGTGTGTGTGCGAAAGAAAAGTGATATCTGTAGATGCTTACTTTCGAAGGCTTGTAGAAATAGCTCGTGATCTGCTTGTATCTGATCCATTCGGGGACCCTTCTGTCCTTCCAATTCTTTCTCCCGCTTTTTCGGCGGCATTTTCACGCGATTCGTTGTCGAATATCCCACGAAAACTTACTTTTGTCACGTGAAAATATAATGACAACACCCGCCCCGCGCGAAATCTGCGGCGCCTAGCCTGCAACTGAAGCGCACCCTTATAACGATATTAGTAACTAGGCCTAACCAATTATTCGTTATCAGTGGACGCCGCGGCAAATGTAAATATCGGTTCTTTTACGGCACCAGACAAATTTTCATGGATAAATAACTTATTGTTGTAGCATTTAGAACATGAATGCCATTGAAGTTACATAATGTGACTACTACAAAGAAGTCATATAAACAGAAAACATAAAAATTTGTTATGGTCACATGTATATAATTGTACAGTCTTTAAAATTTAATTCTTGTAAACTTGTTTGTGCTTGAATAATCTTTATTGAAGATGAATCACAATAACAAGTATTTATGAGTTAAAATAATCATATTTCGAAATTACAGTCAAATATGAAAAAATAAAATTTACTTGATGGAACAAAAATATCCGTAGATAATAAAGAAAATAAGATCCCGTAATGTTACTGGCATATGAAAAAGTATAATGTCGAATATATATAGAAAATTGTCCTATAAACATGTGAATACATAGATATATTGTGTAGCGATATCTAATTAATTTTATATACATTTGCATGATTTTTAAATTCATTACTTTTCCTTTAAATTGGTACGGTTGGTAATTACATTTTAATTTAACTCTCAAGCCTCTCAAGATAAGAATACCCATTGATAACCATGTGAGAAAGTTACATGCGGATGTGTGCGGATGAAAGAGTTGAAGCAAAAGCGGTGTGAATGAATTACGTGTTTTTAATAATCTAATTATGTTTCTTATATGTAGATAACATTATAAATAAATAGTGAATTCAGGAAACGATTGGTTTTATGCATTAACGCATGGTGAATAGTATTTTATACTTTCATAAGATGGTGTAAAAGACATTTAATGAAATTTGAATAACCTTAATATAATATTAGTTTAAGATAAGATGCAACGTAACATATTTCGTACGCTGAATATCCAATTTGTACAAAAACGTTTCTTCAAAAAAGACCAAGTAAGAGTTAGATTCGCACCCAGTCCAACTGGTATGTAATATGGTTAATTCTTTTAATATCGTACAATCCTATATAGATAAATATTATTATTATTTATCAGGTCATCCCATGAGTTATGCAGAGTTTCTGCGGATTGAAGTTTAAAAACAGTAAAATTCAACATGCTCATCGGTTATTTGTTTACTGCACGTAGTATCTTAAATGGGGGTCTGCAGACAATATTTTAGCAAAAGATTGTAGCATAGATTATTTCTGTCAACTGTTATAAACATTTCAAACGAATAGAATGAAGGAACATATTTTAATGTGTTATATGATTTTAACAAAGGAAATAACACAAGTTATTAGATAATGAAAATCATATCCTCTGTATATGGAGAAATTACATTAGTCAGTGCCAAAGATGGTTCAAGAAATTTCACACAGGTAACCATAGATTCCAGAATGAATCGTATGTGGAGAGGCGTAATGAGATAATCTATACATAGATAGACATTTTATAGGTGTTTATTAAAGAAAAGTTAACATTAATAGTTACAGAATAGGCTCAAATATTAAAAATGTATTATTCGTTAATTATTAACAAAAAGTTATATATTCTTATGTCATGTATATGTATTGAAAAAACTACATTACTTATGGGATGCCCTAATATTTTAATTAATTAAATGATATTAATCTTGCTTATTAATGATCTCGTAGGATTATTGCACTTAGGAGGTCTGAGAACTGCTTTATATAATTACTTATTTGCACGGGCTAATAATGGCACATTTATCTTACGAATCGAAGATACAGACCAAAGTAGATGTATACCTGATGCAATGGAAAAGCTTCAGAAGGATTTACTATGGTCTGGAATTATACCTGATGAGGATCCAATAAGAGGTGGGCCTGCTGGGCCCTACATGCAATCAAAACGGCTTGATTTATACAAGTATGATTAATGTTCCTTCTTCAATTAGGAATATGCATTGAAATCTTATTTCACAATAAAAAACAGAGTAATATAGTAGAAACAATAGAATTGTACTGTATAGAGTAACATAGTAATTCTTACAGTCTGTTTCGGAAGTTGAGTAGAAATATCATTAAAATCTCTTTAACATTACATTTATAGAATAAGTGTGTTTTAAAAATACAGAGGTTCTTGTTACATTTATATGTAAAATAATATACTATTTTGTATAGTAATAAATTTGTCAAATAGGTAAAGAAAATACATAATTCTGGATTAGTATCATAACAAAGAAATAGTAATTATCTTTTGTGTTACAACATATAGGGGTAAGGCAACTGAAAAAGAAAAACACATTTCCCTGTCCAAACTGTATTTTGCTGTAATGATGCTATGAAGTTAGTGGTATAATTTTAAGAAAGCACTATTACTTATATGGATCAGATAAATAAATCTAACAAAAGTTATTAAGTAGCTTGTTTCCATTATTCAAAGAAATGGTATGTAAATTGGACATTTTTTTACTCTATTCGAGCTGCCTTACCACTTTGGTAAACACTTGAGTAAATCAACTTATGATGTTTACAATTACTATGTAAATACGAGTAAAGAATAAAGATACATAACACGCATACTATTCAAATAGTAAATTATACTAAAATTTGACTTGCTTTTTTTTAACTTGAATTATTGATATTTTTAATATAATACGAAGATCTTAATGTACCACTGATTAAATTACAGAGAGCACGTACACAAACTTTTAAGTAATGAATCTGCATATTACTGTTTCTGCACAGAAAGCAGACTGCAGTTATTGCGAAGGGAAGCTATGAAGTGTAGACAGATACCTAAGTATGATAACAGATGTCGACATTTCAGTAATGATGAAGTGAAAGAGAAGCTCAATAATGGACAACCATACTGTATCAGATTTAAAGTACTATACAAACAGATTGATACTATTTTAATAAATTGTATATTGCAAACGATGTTTCTTTTAATCTTTGTAGTTATCTTCTGTGCCTGAAGGCTTCGATGATATGATATATGGTAAAATAGTCCATGATATTGCACAAACCGAAGGAGATCCAATTATTATTAAATCAGACGGTTATCCAACTTATCATTTTGCAAATGTTGTCGACGATCATTTTATGGAGATAACCCATGTCTTGCGAGGAATCGAATGGCAGATATCTACGCCTAAACACCTAATGATGTACAAGTAAGTTTCAGCACATAAAATTTCTACTATCTGCATTATTGCGATTTATATTGCAGTACAATGTTTGTATATAAAGTATAAATACTTACACATTGTATTTATTTTTTGTGATCAATCTTAATATAAAACGCAGTAAAAAACTATTCCAGTAAATAGTTACGTTTTTGCTTCAATGGCAGAAGTAATACATTATTTTCAAAATGTAAGCAATAATACATAAATGTTAATTTACGTATTATTGTTTAAATGTCAATATTGTATTGTATACATTAATATTTGTTTACAAATAATTACATTCTTACAGAGCATTTAATTGGATACCTCCAAAGTATGGACATTTACCTTTAATATTAAATTCTGATGGAACAAAATTATCAAAGAGACAGAACGATATACACATTGAGTTTCTTAGAAAAGAAGGGGTTTTTCCATTGGCAGTCATAAATTATGTTATACATGCTGGTGGTGGCTTCGACAATAAAGGAGGTCGTGTATATATTCACAGCTATGAAGAATTGATTAAACAAGTGAATATTTTTATGTTGTGTGTTTATTACAGAACTAATGATATTTATTAATTGTTTAAGATATATTGTTTACATTCTTTATTTTCTTTTCGTATATTAAATCTCTATATTTTTCAGTTCAATATCTCGGATATAAAAACAAGCTCTAACAAACTTATGCCTGAAAAGTTGTTACACTTTAATAAATTAGAAATTTCAAAATTACTGACAAACGAGAGGAATAACAGATTCTTTGTTCAAAGAATTGAAAAACTAGTCACAGATGCATTCCCAGACAGGCGTGTACATTTCTCGTAAACATTTGTCTTATGTTATTTAAAGCTTTCTTGTAATTCGAAAATTATTTTAGGAAAACTGATGGAAGCTTACAATTAGACGAGCATCATATACTTTCAATATTGAAGTGGGGATGTGCTAGAATATCTAAATTAAGTGACCTTGTGTCTCCACAGTTAGCTTTTTTATGGACAATACCATTAACTACACCCAATGTCACAGAATTAGGATGCCTAGGTATGAATGTTACATATAATAAATACTTTTTTTTTCATATTTAAAGCCATTATTTCTTGTTACAGATGTGTTGAAAATATTAAGCATGAAATTAATCGAAATCGACATACAGAATTTTAACAAGGCATGGATTAATAGTTACCTTTATGAGTTAGCTGAGGAACATGAAATTCCAATTCCAACACTGATGAATGTTTTACGTGATATTCTTAGCGGTTTAAAGGTGACTTTGGATTCATATTAAAATAATCTTTAATTACTTTCTCTAATATACGATATCATATATTCAGGAGGGTCCACCCGTAGCCGAGATGATCGAAATTCTTGGAAAAGACAGTACACTGCTAAGGATAAACCGTTGTATTTCTTACAGAGAACCCTGTGATCCAATACATTTGTAAGTTCATAATTTATATCTGACTTTAAGAATAATTCTATGAAGTATATATGTTTATTAAACAAACTATTTCGATCTTGAAGTTAATAACAATTATTTACTATTTATACATGGTTTATGTGAAAAGTTCTTGAAATGAAGTGGAAAGACAACTTATATCATTTTTTCAATATTTTTATGTTTCAATATAATCTCCTTTAACATAAACACACTTGGACCAACGATATCCCAATGTTATAATTATAGATCAACGTTCTAAACATCCTTGAGAATCTTGCATTCAAATTCGTTTTTAATTAATTGTTAAGAGACGTGGCGTATTCTGACTTTATATGTTACAATTATTCATGTAACAGATGTCATCTATATCTCATTCCTAGAACTTTTCAAACGAACCATGTGATATAAGAAATGAATTCCATCTAGTCAACTTTTTGTAACAATGCGTAGCTATCAACCAATACAGTTATTATTATACAGTATACTTACGGATACTTCTCTATTTTTATTTGAAACTAATAAGTGGGTACTACTCCTTGTACATATTATACATATGTCGTCGTTTCAAAACTCAAAAACAGAACTCTTCAAGAGAGAAGAAAACTGCTTTGTCAATTACTGTAAAATTACTTTATATTGATTTTATCCATCAACTATGCCATTTATATTTATTTTGTTGCCTTTTTAGATACACAGTAAGAAAATAAGTTAAATAAATAGCGAGAAACAAATAAGATCATGCATTTAGCCCAAATTCGCAAAAATTACAGTTTCGTAATTAATTTTTATCATTGGAACGACGATCTCTGAAATTTATTTCAGGCTATAATACAATTTGTTTCAAATTTTATGGCTGAAGTGAAAAGTTGCAAACACTCCTCGTCACTACTGGATAGGTTGAAAATATTTTTCTGTTTTATATGGTAGATTTCATGCTTATGGTAGTTTTATCGAATAATATAGAATTCACCAAGTATGTATATATAAATATAAATATATGTCCATTACTGAATTTATTTTTCTACTTTACTTCAGTATATGTGGGTATTTGCGTACGTAGAAAATAATATAGGGTGTTTCCGAACTGGTGATATAACCCGAAAGGATGTGATTCTACATGTGAAAATAAGTCGAAAATGTTGAATAACATTTTTTCGTATAATGCTTCGATTTTAAGAAATATATTTACAACATAATAATTGTTAAGTAAGCAAATATTTGGAATGCTTCTTTTCTAACACCTGCTGGTTAATAACTGCTTTTAAATAGTATTACTTTGGTACAGAATATTTATTTCTACATGAATAAAAGACATTATTACATAGATTTTCTTGTTACAGTAAAATTTTACTAAGAATATAGAAGTTTTCTCATAAATATTCGATTTATAATTTTTAACTTAATTGTATTAGAAATGCCATTGCTTAAATATAATTTCAGAAATTATGTTGTATCGATACCACAACGAAATTATAAATTATTTTACTGATCGCATTAATTGGACAGTGACTATTCAAGTAGGTCATAAGTACGAAGATAATAGTGTAATTATACTTGTTCTATAAGGCATCTTCTATCAAGGAACATTGAAATCTTTAGTTCCGATTAAAACTTAATTATTTGCGAAGCCAGAAAACATGATACACTATGCGGCATAACTATAAAACCACCTTAAAATTTTCAATTCTTATGTATTGTAGTTAAAGTAAAAATGAACCACTTGTTTTTCTAGGGAATATGATTTATCCTTTGGTGGATAAAGATTATTTCTCAGCACGATTTCAAACATGGTATATTTGGTTCGTTTTTATTTTAATCACAATACATAAGAATTAGACTGAGTATTGATAGAAGACAAAAGAAGATAGTTCCTAACGAAGTTACCTTACACAAGTATAATTTTGCAACGCATATATTTTTTTTCCCGTTGCAGTTTTCAATTAGATGCATTCTCTAAAAGTACTACATAAAACGGTATGAGTAAAATGATAAATGTAGCCGAATTTTCAAATATTAAATATATAAGCTTGATTTAATTCATAACTGAAATCTGCATGCCACGGAAATATAATAACAACCATTACAATATTAACACTGTAATAACTTATTTGTAAACAGTAACAGTAGAATATCATTATAGAGAGTGTTATTTATCACAGTTTACGTACTTTGTAAACCTAAAAGAGACATAAACGTTCACTACCTTTTTATTTGTTGGTTCATTCGAAAGATATTGTAAAATACCTGTTTTCAGTAACATAATAAATATGTTGATAATACAATTATACAAAGATAAATAAAAACGTGTGTGCGAAATATCTGTTTTGATAAATGCAGTAACTTTACGAAGTTTTTTTTATGACTTCTCATAATAATTTTTATCTTTCTTGTTGTATATAATATATTTGAGTTCAACGCGAATGGAATTAACGTAAAGGAATTATTTCAGTGTATTAGATTGTGAAAAAACATGATTTACTATGTTAACGCTTAGACATTTACGTTGAAAATAGAAAACATTATTAATACGTATATTTTTAGGAATAACATATTTGCTTTTTCATTTATAGATTATGATAAATTCATGTTTCATATTAAATTGATGATAACTTAAAGATATTCGACTTACGTACAAAAATTATATAACTAAACTGTTTAATATAACTTATTAAAATATGTTACATTAGTTAGGTATATGTATAATGTAACAAGTAATTGCTTGTTATTATAACGATATTAAAAAAACTTGAGTTATCAGTTGTTTTTTTTTAAATTTGTTTATTTCCGTTTTAGAAATACTTCATTATTGAAAAAGATTCTTAATATGTAACGTTACTATACACAGTTGTTATAGACTGGTTTATAAAAAATAAAGAAATTAAAAAAAGAAGCATCTGAGAATTAATTTATTTTATCTTTAATGCTTGTTCATAATTTGTCTCTCAATGAACACCAAATAAAAGCTCGGTTTAAGAATTAAATTTACATGAAATAAGGAAGTTATAATCAGAGGTACAGTGATTCCTTGATGAATGCTACACGAGCTATCGCAATATTCCCACTACTGGGGGAGTTCCCTTTTGGAACCAATCAAATCAGAGTGAACAAAAGCTAAGAGGGGCTGAGAACATTTCCGCCTTGCTACGAATGTTCCGAAGCAGACCCGAGTATGTCGCACTCATGGAGACATTACTGTACGAATTGACAATAAATTTATCAAAGAATAATTACAGCAATTTAATTTATTAATTCCATAGAATAATATAAAAATTTTCTACAGTAAATCGTCGATGAATGTTCAAAGGCTTCTCGGCACTAAGTGTTCAGACGTTATCTCTTGACTGGTTCTACGAGGACTCCCTGCCAGTAATGGGCATGACGTCTGAACATTCATCGCTGATTTACTGTATATCTTATGCATACCTATGTGTATATAGTTTCGATTAAGTTTATTTGAAATAAAGACTTTTGTAGTATCCACGGTAGCAGTCATGAAGAAAGGCGCGTTTTCGAATAGTTTGTGCAAAAATCAAAATTCATCACTATTGGAAAAAAAATTAACTAACGGATAAATAATAAACTTGTGCCCACTTTATAAATATATATTCTTTCTCTTTGAATTAATGAATCGAACTACTTTCACAAAATAATATGCGAACAAATGTTAGAATATTATGATAAAAATATATAAAAACTACATATTTTCTAATATATAGACACAAAATGACTATGACAATTATAAAATGATACAACATCGCCTTTCACCTGACTGTCGGACCTTCTACTGGCCAATAGTTAAGTGACTACCCTGTGTATTACATCTAATATAAGTTTTTTCATTTATTACCGTGTCTATTATTTTTCTACGAGATTATATCATGATGCAGTAGCTATAACAATTTACATAAGAATAGTATATATCTCGAATGTTTTTATACTCTGTCATCAAGTGTGAATTAAGATATTTCATTACAAGTTTTCTATAAATATATAACAAGATACTTTTCAAGGTAGATTTATTTAATATTTAATAATAATACAGAGGAATGAGAATTAAGTAATACTGGCACAAAAGAACTTGATAATTAGCAATATATACATTTACAAGTTGATTCAGTCTGTACAAAACCTATTATGATAATCACAATTAAATTATAGTTTTTTATCTTATTCATTTCATTAAATTTCCATTTAAAGTTTCAAATAATAAGTTTTTTTTTATTATTTAAATGCAAACACGTTTAAAAATATATTTCACTCAAAACACGAATGTATATGTATTTGTGCCTTCGTTAACGAAAAATGTACATACATATATTTTTTTCAAGAACATTCTTATTTTCAATACCAAAAAATTGTCTGAACAATAAAAAAACATACTGTTTAGTTCAATAAAACTTGAGGACAATTTTATCTTTTTTAGAATGTGTTTTTAAGTTATACAAATTTTTTAAATATTCGTTATTATTTAAAACATGTATCATAATGGTCGCATCATTTATTCTTAAGAAAAAGTCTCAAAGATATTAGATGTACAAGTATGAAATTACAACTGAATATTTAACATTTTATAATACTGTCATAATATTATTATTTGAATACAACATAGAATTTTTGGTATAGTCTTAAACAAATATCACATGCAAATTATTTTTATGATTTAGTGTTACTTAGAATATTAGATTTACAATGTGGAATGCATAATATAATTTTGTAGTTAGTATATTATAATACGATGCCGGTTAAGTAAACACCACCCACATATTCGAGATTAGAAAATCTAAGATAGGCACTTTTGTCCTTTCGGGTTTACATTGGAATGCGAATGTACATATACGAAGGAATCGACTAGTTTCTGTGGTATATATTGAGCATCCAGTAACATTCAAAAAGACAAGGCATAATAAATGAAGCACTACATTGAATTGTATAGTTGTGAAAAGTTTCGAGACTACATCATTAACAGTTTATTCTAAGGTGAACATTATAAAAGAAAAGTTCAGG